TTTATATATAAGATATTTTTTAAAAGTTTATTTTGTTTCTAAATATAAGGAGTAACAATGATATTTTTGAGTAATTAAACAATTGTACTCTTATTTTGAAAAGTAGAACAGATAATTAATGGTATGTTTTCTCTACTACCATCAAAATATTAATTATGATATTATTAGAGGTAAACTGAAAAATTATTTTATTTTTATGTGAGTTAATTATTTAACAAACCTTTATTGATATATAAGATCAGTTAAAAATATTTTATATATAAAAATGAAGAAATAAATATTAATAGTACTATTTTGATCATTAATAGAGTGATAAATGCCTAGTTAACAAGTCATGTGAAAACTCTAAATATCATTCTATTGTGAATGGAGAGTAACCAACCAGATGACGGGAGAGAGACAAATGGACAATAACATGAAATACATTTTAATTTAAACTATCAAAGTTCAAGTTTATTAATATCATTTTTTTATTAAACATAATTTTATGTGACGGGGGATTTCTTATATTAACTCAAGTTCACTCATATGTGAACAACATTTTTCAACTGAAACGAAACATTATTAAAAAAAAAAAATTGATAGCTAATACTCACTTAGTGTTCAACTATTCATTGACGTGGCACCTAGATAAAAGTAATCATTTTTAAAAAATAATAAATAGTTCCTGACAGAAAAACTATATGTTGTGTGTGTGTGTGTGTGATGTATGCAGGTATTGGGACAAAATGACGTCAGTGTCAGAATTAAACAATTGAGAAATTAGTTTTATATGAATCAGACGAGTTGGAGTTGGTTGCTATTCCCCAAGGGTTGTATTGATTAGGTGTGAGTGTGTATAATATACATAATAAAATAAGTATAAAAGGCAAAGTATAGACTATATAGTAAACTTTCTGCACAAGCCTTAGGCTTTTGATGACTGCCCTTTCAAATTGCTGGGTAGGATTCATACACGTCCTACGGTCGCCGCTTATTTATTTATTTATCTATTTATCCATAAATCGGTTTAATTAGTAGGTTAGATTTCGAAGTCTCACAGCCACGAGATTTATAATAGATTAAGATTAAGATAAAGATAAGATTAACATACCCTTTTTTAAGCCAAAATAAGATTAACATACTTACATGCTCCTCTGGTCTTATTTATAAGGTAGAGAGAGAAAAAAAATTCTATTTATAGAGCATTCATCAATTTTCAATGCTTTTTTTTTATATTTTTATCTTTACTAAATATTTTAAATAAAAATACTGGTAATAAAATTTAAGAAAATTTATTCGGGGTAAAGGTAAAAATTTATTAAAATTTAACACAAAGTTAATAAAGTTTAAAGTTTTCTTTAATTTTAGTGAAATATGTTAGAAGTGACTTATATATAAGACTAGAAGGAGTATTACATACATGCTAGTCATTAATGTAATTCACACGGGCATTTTTAAGCTGTTGGAGGGTATGGGGTAGGTAATTACTGATCAAAATACTCATTTGTTGATAAATTTAATGAAAAGAACTAGTTTCTCATATCATGATGAATTAAGATTTAATTTTTTTTTGAAATGAATGTTCATATTTAATGTTTAACCATACTTTAAATATAATAAATATGTTATTAAAGTGTGTATATTTAATAAAAATGAAATTAAAAAATTATTAAATTTCTAAATAAAGTTAATGAGTCAGAAAATTTTATTTAATTTAGGTGAAACATATTAAAAATGTCTTATAAGTGAGACCAGAAGACTATACATTTATTTGTTGGGTTCACGTGGAAAGTAACAATTAACGCTAAAAAAAGTACACGTAATTGATACCTTGTCAACTTGTTCTGAGCTTAACATCTGTAAACAAAACAAATATATGAATAGAATATTATTATTCTGAGGTGTTTATAATACATTCTAACGCAAACGGTGAGTTTTAGATTGTAAATACGATGTCTGTTGCCCAGGACACTACGAAAATTCTATAATACGAAGTGTGCAGGCACTGTCCTTTTATGGATCCCATCACTTTTTATAATATAGCAAAAGAGTGCATTGTTCTCAAAGAAACCTTGAGTATTAAGTATTAATACTTTTCGGAACGGATATATATTAAAAAATCGTATATGATTTCTTTCTCATTATATTCAAGTCATTCGCTAACTTCTGTTTAGGACAAACACAAAAGGTCTCTTGTAACTTATTCAACCTTCAAAAGTTTGGTATTGATGCATGACTTCACACTATAAAGATCAATGAAAAAGCCAACCAAGAATATAATTAATGAAGGGTTATATTAGCACAACATATAGTTTTTGTTCCCCCCCCCCTCAAATATACATATAGGAACAAATATGTAATTAGTATTCATTTGAAAAACATGTGAAGAAGGAGATGGAAGCTAATTTTATTAATGAATCTCACCAATGAGGGAAGAATAATACCACATTACATGGCTAATAATCGAAGCAAAGTATATATATGTTGAGAAACAGATATATTCCGTTTATTAATTGACCTATGGTAATTTGAATTGAGTGAAATGAACTTGATTCCGTGTAGGTGGGATTGAGGTTCAGACTTTGCGGGCAACAAAAATTATGTTGAGAGGATTACTCTCAATTAGATCCAACAATACTTAAATTTGACCTAATAATTACAATTAGCTAGGAGAATGACAACTAAGGATCTCACAAGAAAATTAATACCAAATCACGGTCTTATCATACTTAACTTAGGTTCCTAAATTCAATAGTCATCTTCTTATGTTTCAGCACTGAAAACCATTAACAAAATCTTAATTTGTTACTAATCTTCTTAATTAGAAGGTCCTTAATTGTCATTGTCCCAATAAAAGTAGGCTATATTGGCAAGGAAAATATATCTACCACCACTATGAATGCTAAGAATTTCATAGTTAGCTCCATTAGCTATGAAGTTGATGAGTAATACAATCAATACACCTAGCTAGCAACTTTTTTAAAAATATGATCTAAAGTAATTAATCATCATGACAAAATCACAATGATTTTGATAAGGACATATATATGGTTTAAGGTAATCCCACAACTAACACTCCGCGTTCACACCTTAATTAATTAAAATGTTTAAGGTTTAATTACATTACCAAAAGATAACTTTTAATTTTGGTGGAACATGTTATGCCCAATATTTTTAATTAACAAAAAATAAAAAGGCTGTCATCAATTTGGAAGCGATATTATGTCAGGCTAGAACGAGAGAAGGTAAAAAAAAAAAAAAAAGGTGACAACAACAATACATGGTGGCGCTCTTGTGGATGTGGGAAGCATGTAAAATTAATTAATGCATAAGAAAACGCTAGAACACAGAAACACACAAATAATAATGATGAAGCCGTTGATAACAAAAGCTCTGAAAACTGACATCTTCCAGGTGTCAACATGGTAGTGGTGCCAAATGTCGAGGGACGGCGCACCAACCAAACAAAGACAAGGTGAAACCCTAGATTGTAGGGGGTGTCATACAGTGCAAAGTAAAAATAGATATGCAAATTCTTTAAGAATAGACAAACATTTTTAGTTATTTTTAGTTTGCTTGTTAGAATATGTTTGTCTCTGTGTGTGTGTGTGTGTGTGTTACTTTCATGATTTAAAAATAGTTTGGGTTATTTTTTATATCTGGATTTTCATCTTCCTAAGTTTAGAAATATTTTGGGGTAATTGCCTATTTACTATTTATATATATACATTCGGTTTGGCAAAAAACCGTATTTATTCTCTTGTAATTTATGTACGGTAAGAGAAATATCGTGACTTATAGCATTTAATTATTATTTATACTCATATTTCACAAAAAATATATAATTAAATTTGGTGAGTGAGATTAAGAACACGCTTTAAAATTACAAAATGTCAAGTTATTCCTCCTCACGAACTCAAGTAATTTTACCTAAATAATAATAATAATAATTAAAAACTATTTAGATATAAGTATAAATTTATTATGCTTTCGATAGTGAATAAAATTGCGCATCATTAACTACTATTCAGGTTAAAATTATGTGACAGAAATTACAAAATAATTAAATGTTATATATAACAGGGAGTTGATATATGAATGAAGCATTTTAATTAAATTGAGAGGGAAAACTTATTTTTGACCAAATCACAAGGTAATTCAATTATCAGAAAAATATAATTAATCCATTATTTTGAGATCAAAACAAAAAATAATGTTCTAGGGTTAAAATAATATATACATATGATGATATCAGTTGTTAGGAATAAATATAAATGAAAACTGGTAAAAGCACGCCACATTTCAAAATCTGATAAAAACTCAGATTTATATATGGGGTTTTTCACTTTAATATATATTACTTATTAACCCTTTAATTTTATTTAATGTGAGATTTTCTACATTAATTTAGTCTAACCTTTTAACTTTAGTCTCTCAATTCATATAAATCTAATAACAGCAAAGTGATGTGCATGTTTGAAGAATTTATAACTGAATACGAGACCTTAATTACCTTGAATATAGGTCGATGTGTAGCCCACTGGAGCCCCATAATTTTTAGAGAATTCAAAGGTAATGGACAAAGTGAAAGTATTGCATGTTCATGGTTATCAATTGATTGGTTTATATGGACCAAATCAATAACCGCTTTAATAAATTAAATTAGTTAATTATCTCACGTTATTCTAACTCAGTCAATTAAGAGATAAAAAATAATTGACGGCTACAGAGTTCTAGGTTGAGCCTCTACCTAGTAGGCTCACTTGTGTGGTTCACCTATCACAGTTCACACAAAATTATAAAAATCAATCTGTTTGTATTTATTAATTAATATAAATCTATAAATAAATGTTCCAACATAACCAACATTCAAACACACACACACATATGGAATTAATGGTTAAACGCAGGAGATAAAGCAAAACTATTTCATAGAGTGAGAGAGATTGGCAGAGAGCACAGTACGTGAAGTTTCGTTTAAAAGATAAAGGTGGAGGAAAAAGCTTAGGAGGGGGGTGGCGTGAAATCTCGGTGTCACGCCGCCCAAACAAAAACACACTTCCATCCGTCTGCCACCCCACGCGCAATCAATAACTTCATCTCCAACATGTTTTTGTTTATCTCTATATCTCTCTCCATGTAAATGAATTTATTACATTATTCTTCTGTGTTTCTTTTCTGAACAACAAACGCACATCCCACAGTTCCTCTAGGTACATCCTCTCCCTTATATAAATACCTCTCTTTCTCTCTTTCTAATAGCCATATCTACCCTTCTTCTCTTTTTCTTCTTTCTCTCAAACCATCCTCATCTTTTGATCTCTCTTAGCTCAAGATCCAACAATTGAAGGATGACATCACCCCAGTTTTCTGTGAGTATATATACAACTGATGGATCTTACATCATAGTTTTTGTTTCCTTCCATAACCTGTTCAAAATTGTGCAGAACTTGAAAGCTTCTGATAAATGAATGTTATTTGTCTGTAGGTGTTTTGTTATGCATGAGCTCTTGTGATTCTGTTATGTCTTTCTTTTCTCTGAATTTTCTTTGTGAATTCTGGGCAACAATTAATCCAAGGCTGACAAATATTTTGATTGGTTTGTGTTAAGACAGCAAATCTGTACTGTGAGAGAAGAAAGTGTCAAATAGATATGTATATACATTGACTCTAAATTGATGCGAGAAAGTCCAAGCGCCTTAAAATTGAAACAGACAAATTAATACTAAGCTATAGTCCAGATTAGCTATGAATGAATGATAGGGTTTAAGAGTCAAGCAGGCAGTGATTATGTCGTCCATTAATAAGTCTGAAAACTAGCTAGATTCTCTAGATTGGGAAAAAATAAAATCAAAGTTTTCGTGAAGCATGCTTAATAAATAGACAGGTCTTTCTCCACCACCAGCTAGTGACCACGAGTTGATGAAAGTGCACTTCACTCAAACAAACGATCGAGACATGCTTCTGCCAGCAAAGTCAAGCTTTTCGGCCTAGCTAGCTACTTTAATTTTCTGTGCTTAATATATATATATATATACATACACATATAGCCTTTTTCATGTAAAACTATATATTCTTCTTGGAATATATACAAGTCTGTGTCTTGTTAGTTAATATTCTTTGATTGGTGGGCTCCACACATGGTCTGCCAGTTTGTCTTTTGAATGCACATGTGTGTTTGTGAGAAACTGGGTCCAATTACGAAGTTGCATCATCATTCGCTGTATGTCTCAGCTCTAGCTTAGCTAGACACCTTAGAATTGTGAGGTCTGATATTTTCAACGATAAGCAAAAGCTAAGTGGAGAGACTTTGGATAGATCGTCCTTGGTTATATATATAGATTCTAGACCATATATAAAATCTGTTTTCTTGACACGTACACACAGATACATATGCATACATCTTCAAATACTGTGTTGTCCATTTCATTCCCAAACGGTATGAGAAGAAAGAAAAGGACAAGAAATAAGCATGATTAACTTGGCTAGAATATTATTCAATCATAGATAGTGATGACTAGCCCATAGCCTTGTTATTAATTTGTTTGTTTGTGCAGGAGAGATCTTCAATGGCGGAGATGGAGTCATGCGTCCCACCAGGATTTAGATTTCATCCAACAGAGGAAGAACTTGTAGGATATTACCTCAAGAGAAAGATAAACTCACTCAAAATCAACCTCGATGTTATTGTCGAGCTAGATCTTTACAAAATGGAACCATGGGACATACAAGGTACAACATATACACACATACACACAGGAAAAAAATGGCTGCTCCCTATATTTTTTAACGTGTAGTTTTGGTATTTGTCTTTATATTTTTTTTGTCATTGCTATTAGTCTCTTAAATTTCATCCATTTGCAACACTAGTTAATTTTTATATATAATTATAAGGACTTAATAACGGCTAACGTTTACTAAACTTTATTACTTCTTTTGCTAACTTGTTAAAATTATAATGATGAGTTGTACATAAAAATAAAGCGCATAAGTCCAAAAAAAAAAAAAGCAAGACATTAAATGAGAAAACTTAACATATTTAGTTTATGCATGATACACTTTTGCCTGATCTGTTGTTTATGTGAAATCCCAATTTCTTTCTTCTTTTTTTAGGCTTATGCTCACACAATACAATAGAGATAAAAACCAAAATACACTAGGGACCAACAATTATATTTTTTCATATCTATATATATATATATATAATATTCACATTATATAATTGGAAAACTTTTAGGTAGCTAATAGATAATATAATAATGTGAATACTGCAGATAGATGCAAACTAGGATATGAGGAGCAGAATGAGTGGTACTTTTTCAGTCACAAGGACAAGAAGTATCCGACAGGAACGAGAACGAATAGAGCAACAGCAGCAGGATTCTGGAAAGCGACAGGGAGGGATAAGGCAGTGATGTCGAAGAACAAGATCATTGGTATGAGGAAGACCCTTGTCTTCTACCAGGGTCGTGCCCCTAATGGCCGGAAATCTGACTGGATTATGCATGAATATCGCCTTCAATCTTCTGACCATGCCCCTCCTCAGGCAAGTAGCTAGTTCTAATCACTGTACCTTCTTTAACAGAATTAATCCCGTTAGATCATCATCATTCAAACGTTATGTGTGTGTTCCCTTATAGCTGTCAATATTTGAAGTTAAATAGTAAAAACTAAGTTGATAGAGTTATCCTATTTATGACCTAGCTACCATGTTTAAAATGTTACCTTCTGTTATTATGATGATTTGGCCGGGTCTCATCTTGGGGTACAATTTGGGCTAACTTTTAGTCTGTAGATTTTCTTTTAATTATCAATTTAGTCCTTGAATATTGGCTCAATATACTTGGCCCTTATATTTTATTGTTGAGTTAAAAAATTATAGGGAATATTGACTTGTCCTGAGTTAATAAAATATAAAAACTGAACTGTTGAGTTAAGAAAGTATAAAAACTAAGTTCTTTCAGATTAAAATTTAGTCCAAAGATTGAATCGAGATAATTAAAAATAAGTTCCAGAATCAAAAGTTATATTTTTTTTCTATAATTTATCATGCTCATGAAGCAAATTAGATAGTTGATTTTAACCAACCATTTTTTTGTGCTGGTAGTTAATCCAATGTAGTTGTTACAAATATTTTTTTTTAAAAAAAGCAGAGTTATAAGTAATGATAGTGAGTTAGTGGCTATAACATCACACATATGACGCCTACTCTGACATGTATACAGTGGGAGGTGATTAAGAAAACATAAGACAAGTGGTATGGTCCCCCAAAAAAAAAAAAAACAAGAGAATGTAATTAAACTTATATCAATTTCAATTAATAAAATAATTTCTCCTTTCTTGCTGAATGTATTCTTATTAGAGTTTGTAAATGTGCCACACACACGCCCCATTTTCAAACCTCTGTATTATGTAATATTATCTGCTTCAACCCTTTAATGATGATATACAGCATGCTCAAAATTAATCTTTAAAAGCTTCATTAATTCTGAGTTTATAAATATTTTTTTTTGAATTATTTACTATAAGATAATGTAAAATTCAGAAAAGAATAAAAAGAAGTGAGACAAACTTTATATGTAGGAACTTTAAAGTAGGACTTTTAAGTAAACACTTATTGCCTTTTAGAAAAGTCCAAGATCACAATTACACATGCATGCTTGTACTTTCATCTCAAAACACTGTTCATGAGCATCCAAAGAGAAACATTGAACTTGGTAGCTAATATGCAACAAGAGAGTAGTATATTGGGTTAAATTAAAGCAAATTAAAATATAGATTTTTAATTTATTTTCTACTAAAATTGAGAGGATAAACAAACTTTAAAGCATTATAATAAACATAATTATAAGTTTTCTCATATACCTCAATATTACATTCACAAATATATTAGGTATGGAATTCACCAAAAAATACACATATATTACATGTACAGTATATTAAAATTTTCTTAATTAACTATCTATATATAAATACTTATGTTTCAAGCATGCAATCGAAACATGCATGTCCACTTTTCTTGAAAGTTACTTTTGTGCCCTTTAGAAAAGCCAAGAGGCAAAGTGCAAATCACAAGTCAGAATGTTGCTTGTACTTTTTCCACATTACCTGTTATGCATGTGACATTTTTTGTGAGCTCGTCTTCCATATATACAGAAATATGAATACTTGTTACCCATGTCTTTGTTATATTAATTCAAAGAACATATATTCATGTGTGTCACTGATCATCATTTATAAGTTATCAGTGCAACAATAACATATATAAAATGTAAAACTCAAGATATTGAAAACCAAACTGGTCAAAATACTAGTTCAAATATTAATACTTACTGAATCATAATCACATTGGTCATGAACAAAGTATTTCATTGAATTAGTCTAAATGCTAATTAAATGATTTATCGGTTCAATTTGATCAGGTGAAATCTTGCTTTTATATATATTGTCATGCATCAACTGTACAATTTATGAGAAAACTTGTCGGATTTACTGATAAATGAAGTGACTGGTATTGCAGGAAGAAGGATGGGTAGTGTGCAGAGCATTCAAAAAGCCAAGTCCTAGTCATGTGAGGGCAGGTTTTGAAGCACAGTGCTATCTCAGAGACCAGATCAGCCATGGAAGGCCTTTGATGATCTCTTCATTTTCAGAGATTCTGAATCAAACCCATCCTTTGCTGACGGCTCATCCAAATAATAACAATAACTCTCAAGGCATATGCCTAAGTCCCCATGATCATCATCATCACCAGCAACCTTTCATCAGTTTGGATCAGCTGATGCAGAACCAACAACTTGTTGATCTCCCTCAACTAGATAGCCCTAGTGCTGCCTCTCTCACACCAGCTAGTTTGGGAATAGGACAAAACAACCTTAATATTGGGGAAGAATATTACAGTGATGACGTGGAAAGCTTGGACAACCTGTTTGCATCGAATCTGACAGATACAACTTCGTCTGCTGCTGCTTTCTTTGGACACTCGAACTTGCCCATGATGATGATACCTCATAACAACGAATTCTAATAATGCCTCACCACAATCAAGCATAGCCAAGCCCTAGGATGCTTTCCTGATTCATAGTGTTTTTTCCCCCTAGGATTTCATCTTTCATATATATATATATATATATATAGCCAATAAAATAATTGTCTGAAGCCACTACTATTGATTAAGGTTATAAATGCCTATTATTCATTACATAACATATATATACGCTGATTTAGAAGTTGTTGGAGAGAGAAAACTTTATCGTTATAGGTGACATAGAAGATGACTTGAAAAGTGATCCAATGTATCCCTTCTGTGTTAACGAAGAAGGTTCAAATATAGGAAGTTTAATAACTTCTTTTTTTTCAAAAATTGTTGTACCCTGTTTGTGTCAGATCAGATCGGTCGTAAATGTAAATTCTCTTTATTGGATGCATACAATGAATGGTTTGTTTATTTGTTTAAGTACTAACATTCTTTTTACTTAATTAATTAGTCTCTCAAGTCTCAACCACAGTCATGTTGTACTCCCTCTCTCTCACGCAAAGTGTGTATGTATGTGTTCGCGCGCGTTTTATTTTTAATTTTGGCCGAAGTGTGTGTGTTATAATTTAATATCGGAAAAAGGATTTCTTATATCCTAAACACCGAGCTTAAAAAGGATTGACAATATAATGTCAGGTTATCAAATTTGAATTTGAGTAATTAGTATATTTGAAAGATTACATATTTAGCTTTATTTTATTTAATATGCTCGTTGTTTCTAATTAAACTAATGCACGTGGCTTTTGTATAGATTATTTATTTTATAATAAATTTTTATTATTAATTTTGTTAACACATAAGATTCACTTATCATGATTTAATTATATATAAGTTTATCAAATATATAAGACTAAGTACATAAATCTTACATATATAAAATAGTAGGTTTGATATTTTTGAATGAAAATATAGAATATGGCAACACCGCAAGCCTTGTAATGAATGAATTAATAAGCTAAAATAAATAAATAAATTGATATTTGGCGAAGTGATCAATAAGCAATCGAATGATGACTTGAAAGAAAATTAGTCATTGGCTTATTGCAGGACAAGAAAAGAACTTAATGAAATGAACACAAAAAAGCATAGTAGACGTTGGATACAATATAAAGAATCAAGAAGAAACTCAACTATTCAAAGATATCAAATATAAGAAGCATGAAAATGAAGAAAAGATGTAGAGAAGAAAGGGGAGAATTATATTCAGGTCTCACACAAAAAAATTAATTACTATAAAGTTTATTAACAATTGAATTAAAGCCATTGACAATATGAAATTAAAGAATCAATTGTCAATAGCCTTAATTTGATTGTTAATGGACTTTATAATGATTAATTTTTTTATATAGGATTTTAATGTAATTCTCCCAAGAAGAAAGTGTCATTTTGAGCATGTACTATATATGTGTGATACTTAATAGTTAAAAATTGAGAAACTTGTGAGCTTGTTTTATTTGCTATTTATTTGACTGAGAGCAACCTTAGCCAATCATTAATTATCTTAATGTACCTAGTTAGTTTGGGTATCTATGAGAAATCCTATTTGCATCACTTTTGGGTGAGCTTAGTTACAAAATTTGGTTTATCATCATAGATTGATAGATTTGAATTTTACATTTAAAATCTTTTATTTAGATAGAATGAGATATTTTAAAAGAGAGGTAGGATGAGATATGAAGCAAAAACTAAAGACTAGAAGTAATAAGCTTATCCCTATTGTCTTTAATAGGTGAGAGATGAAAATGAGGGATGAGAGGAGTTGTAGCTTAAACTTTAAATAACTATGGTTTAAATGAAATTTAAAATTACAAAAAATTATAATAAAATATAAATTTGAATTTTGATCAAATTAAATTAAAATTCATAAACTGTTATGTATTTAAATAGATCAAAGTCAAATTCAAATTCTCATGCACTCAAACGTGTGAGAAATTTAATTGGTTGATTATAGTGAAAAATTCTCTTAAAGTTTCAAGGAGACTAAGTGTGTGGACCGAGGGACGGAATCGGTAAATTAACTGTGTCCACTTTATCTTTTATTTCTTTATTTCTAATTATCTATATTATACTTGATGCGCACAAATGCACTCTCACCAAGTCTTTCTTTAATTTATCTTTTTTCTCTCCTAAGTGAAATAAGTCTTTCTTTTTATATCCTAAAAGGTTAATTTTCAACCTTGGATGGGATACTTTGTTTGGTCCAAAAAAAAAAAAACTTGGACGGGACAGTAAACATAAATATATTTAGGGTTAAAAAGGCGGCATTAACTTAGTAAAAATGTTTTTGCTGAACATCCCAGTTGTACAGGCTTTAGTAAAGCTTAATGACTCATACTTTAGTTACTAATTAGAGATTTAAGATAATAACTATGCGATTAGATAATATAATAAATTAGGCTTTAATATCTTAATGAATCATAATAAGTGAACATGTTTTTAAAAAATAGAAAACATATTAACAGCTAAGTCTAAACTTGCAAGATTTTCCAATAAACAGTGCCTGATTTTGACTCTCCAGAAATATTTGAATCATTGTGCAATGCCAAATTGTAAAAGCTAATGACGTATGAATTATTTATATAGATTCCTATTGTAATTGCCCACGCGTCAACTCAAAGGGTAATTAGGGCCATGCTGTCTCCTCAATAATATCCGCATACAACGTATGAAGCCTAATTGCAGAATAGAGGGATCGGGACTATTATCTATTTTCTTAAAAAACAGATTTTGTATATTATTTTTTTTGGTAGAAAATAGATATTATATTATTACTTGAAAAAAAAAATTAAACTTCTGTTTGATAAGATAATACAACTTTTTTCTATGGAAACTGGTAATTGGTTTTTGAGTAATTTCCAAGAATAAAATCCGATATCCTTACAAAATTGTTTTTTTTTTTAAAAAACGAGACAGAAATTAAATGGATTTAATTGCGATTAAACACGCTGACGATCCCCAAGATAAATGATTTTGGAGTCATAAATAAAATGAAAACTTCTACTAAATTTAATTATATTTTTTAAATAGAAAAGAGTATATTTATATTTAGCATGTAATAAAAGTATTACTTCATCTATTCAAAATTATAAATTATTTTTAATTAAATTATACATCTCAATAAATTAGTTAATCATCTTTAAATTAACACTATCATTTTATATTTTTCTTTGTTCAATAAAATATCAAATATTTTTTAAAAAGTATTAATTACATATTAAAAATATAAAAATATTTAATTTAAAAAAATGATTTATATTTTGAAACAAAAAAGAATTATTTAAGAGAATGAGATTTTAATTTATTTTTTAAATTAATTAAAGTATATATTTAATTTTTTAACTTTATAAAATATTTTATTTTAATTTTTTAATTTTATAAAATATTTTTTTAATTTTTTAATTTTAATATTGTTAGTTTATTTCAATAAATTTTTACATTAAATTTTTAAATATTAATAAAATATTATTAAGTGTTGATATATTAAATTTAATTTTTTTAAATAATAATAATTAATATAAAAAATAATTATTTAAAATTAATAATGTTAGAATTAAATGTTTAAAAATTTTTTTTATAAAATTAAACAGTTAACAAAGTTAGAAAGTTAAGAGTTTACTTTAATTTTTTAATTTTTTTATATTTAATTTTAGGTCCAAAAATGGGGGATGTGATTGGACAATGGTCGCGTGCATGGCAAGCATTTACTGGTCGAACGAAACAGTGCATAAAGCCTGTGCCTCGTCACCAAACACTCTGCTTCTGGCGATCGGCCTACTTGCAGATCAAATTTCAAAGTTCAAACCCTCGCATCACCTGCACTCCAAGTTCAAGGTGAGACAAATTTCTCATTCCCTTCTTTCTTGTTCGATTGGCGATTTTTCAGTGATCAATTTGTTCCCTCTTTTTACGTTCTCGCACTTTCTTTGTGGGTTTCTGACAAGGTAAAAGGTACTGCTATCTAGAATTTTGATAGATTTTTCTTTTCCATTTTTTAGGAGTTTTAATGCGCCTCTGATTTTTATTTCTTGATTGTTTGTTGGATTCGCGGGCACTGCTTTATTTCCATGTTCATCTATGCTTTCGAGTGGTGTGCTCTGCTCGTGGATATATTTGGGTGCCTAAATATGCTTATATTCGTCTTGTTTTGAGCTACTCTGTGCTTCTATCCACTTCAGTGCTGTCTTAGTGAGCTGCTCGCAACTTTTTGTGTTGTAAGGGCTTTGCTGTTTGACCTAGAGATTTTATTAATTTACCTATAATTACCAAGAAAAAAATATTTGTTTATCAAGTCCTGGGTCTTTAGTGATCTTTGCTACAAGCTTTTAGTTCATGTTATGGACTTCATTCCTTTCTCTATTTTATGCTATCAGGGAGTTTCTGTCTTTTCAGAGAATTTAGTGAGATGCAAACATCTACAATTCAGTCTCTGTCTTTTCTATTTTATCCATTAGAGTGTATGTCATGATTATACTCTCATCCGAATATTGCAAGAAAACAAATTGCATTCTTTTCTTACAGTACTTGCTTATATTTGTGAATGAATTGAGTGTTTAGTTTCATGGAGTGACTGAGAGAAGAGATTTTCTTCTCTTTTAACTTTCAAACTAAAATTTCATCTTTTTCCTGTGATAAATGGGTGAAAGTTGTTCTATATGAATATTTGTCATGTTAAGTATAGCATATACTTAGGTAATGCCTAAAGCCTTTTCTTTAGCAGAATTATAATTTTGTTATCCATTTTTAGGATTGAGAAGCTCTAAATAGTTCTTCAATCCTGTATACTGGTAATGGCTTCAAAACGCATCACTAAGGAGTTGAAGGACCTACAGAAGGATCCTCCTGTTTCTTGCAGTGCTGGTTTGTTCTGAATTATCTTCTCTCTGTTTTCCCTTTTGTTTGATTATTTTCTCCATATGTAGCTCTGTTATTTACATTGCTCACAGCTTGAAATTCATCCTATTCTTATGTAGACGTTATTGTGTACTAGCAAAATCAATATACTATATATGCTGTTAATGTATTCTATTGGAGCTTCAAGCTCGTTTGGAAATTACTTCATGATTATGCTTTCATTTCTCATAAATTTTGTCACGAGGCTCCATCATAATCTGGTTTCTCTTTTATTTTATTTGTGTGTATCTGTTCTGCATGCATGAGTGCACTGTCATAGAAGCTAAGAAGTTAATGGGAAGTCAAGTAACATTGTGCTTGTAGTTGAGTAGGAGACCATTTCTAAATGATTGTATAGGACCTAGATTTTGGTTAAGACTAGATGGGGATTTGAACTTTTGACTGTTGGTTCTTGTAGCCCCAAAGTTATTGGAAATGAGCAATTTTGGTTTGAGTTAAAACTGGGGTGTAAGGAAAGGAATAATTGCACGCTAAGTTCTGATTGGATGAGATAAAAATGGGATGAATGGAAAGGAATAAATGGAGACGAGCAATGTATGAGAGCATATCTTTGATAATTGTGGGCTAAGTTTTCTTTCCTAGAAAACCAAGAAAAGATTTAATGTTCTTTTTCATTTGCAGGCCCTGTTGGTGAAGACATGTTTCATTGGCAAGCTACAATTATGGGCCCTGCAGACAGCCCTTATGCAGGTGGTGTCTTCCTAGTGACTATTCACTTTCCTCCAGATTATCCTTTCAAGCCCCCAAAGGTAGTTAATTTTCATAAATGTTTTGAAAGCTAATACCTAGATTAAAACATTTGCCATTTTGTTTCTGTTGAAGGTATAATGGAGTCCCATGTTGGGGAGCCAAATTTATGTGGTTAAGATGTCTGTTTCTTCCCTTTACAGCCCTGTTTTGAGGGTGGGTTTCTCACCCTTGATTAAGTCTCATTGTCTTTTCCCCAATAATATTCACTTGCTACATGTTCAAGCTATGGCATTGAGTTTGTCTCATTGTAGAATGGATAATCTTAAGCCCTATAGAAAGGAATAAATGAAGATCAAAAGCAACACTTATGAAAATTGTTGAAAGAGACCTCTTAGTCAACAATATTCCTAAAAACTTGGTTGATAATAGAGCACAATAATATCGTGCAATTCATGTAGCCAACCTCACTTTGTGAGATAATGTTGTTGCTTGTTGTTGTTGTCTTATTAGTCCCTCACCCCGATTACTTACTTATTTAACCTGAAACATAACCTTTTGTAAACACAAATTTGTTGTTGTTGTGTATCTAGTACAGGAAGATATTTGAATCCATGGTGCAGGTGGTGGAGAAACCCTGCATACTCTTGCAACTGGTTTGATGTGGTGATATAAAGAAAATCCTTCACCACAACTTTTTAACGATGACTATCATGCATTCATTGTCATTAGTAAACATTATTTATCTCTTTATATTATTTTATTAGGGATATGAAGGTTATTTTTCTTCTTTTTTAAAAAAATTCCTTTCCATTTCATTCTATTCTGTATAACAAACGTTTTTTTGTTGTTGCATGGATTCATTATAAGATATATATATATATATATATGTATATGATGTGATGTTGACACTTTTGTTCTGTGTTATGTGGATTATGTATTATTTGTATGTTTATTCTGATTTCATTTGACTATCCATTTGTCTTTTTCCTGGGCCCCAAGTATCTTTTTGGCGTGTTTCTTTTATCGGGGGCTGAATAGGGACAGATAAAATTTACAATGGAAAAAAAAAATCTTATATTTGTCCAGGTTGCATTTCGAACAAAGGTATTTCACCCAAACATCAACAGCAATGGAAGTATCTGTCTTGATATTCTGAAAGAGCAGTGGAGCCCTGCTCTTACAGTTTCTAAGGTATAAAGCTTCATCATACTTAATTAATACTCCAGTCTTTCTGATGATCCCTAGTCCAATGTTTTCGTTTCCCTTTGGGAATTCCAGCATTTTGTTTCTCACATAAGAGCTTCACTTCTTTTTCCTAAAGAAATAAATGCGAAAGGAATCTAATGTTTTAGTAAGGAAAAAGCTTATAGCTGCTATGTATTTGCTATTCAATTCTGCATTTTTTTAGTGCTCAATATCGTATGATAGGTTTCTGTTTTTAAAAGCAAAAAAGCTTACATGCGATGTCTTGCATCTTTACAATCAGGTTACTTAATGTGACAATGCATGGATTATGCAAACAAGTGAATGTTTTAAACAAGTTAACATTACTTGCTTGGTTTTTTCATAAGTTGCACATTGAAGAGGTTGATGATGAACGTATAAGAAACGGTATCCCTTTACCCGAACAAAAGAGAGAGAGAAAAAATGGGATCTAGATTTAGATCTTTTTGAAAGATGTTCCTTCACATGGTGTGTGTTGTGATCAAGAAGAGTTATGACATGTTTATGGAATTTTGCTTAAAGATATGTCCTTCTTAGCGATCTCTTGCAAGCTTATCGATCATGGACCTCATGGTTCTGTGTGTGTGTGTGACTGTTTAGACTTCTCTAATACTGTAAGTTGTGGTAGGTTCTGCTGTCAATCTGCTCCCTGCTGACAGATCCAAACCCAGATGATCCTTTGGTGCCTGAGATTGCTCACATGTACAAGACTGACAGAGCCAAGTATGAGAACACTGCCCGTTCTTGGACTCAGAAATTTGCCATGAACTAGTAGTTCTTGGCATGCTTTTGATTTTGCTTCTGGGCAGGTCATGTGCAAACAAATGAAATAGGTTTATACATAAAACAAATAGTGTTGCGCTTTTATGTAATTTTAATAATTATCCATACTTCAAGATTCAGGTTTATGGGGTTTCAAAACGTTTGCCCAGAATTTGTATCTCCCCATTTTATATTTTAATATGCGTTGTTGTTTTTAAATCTGACCATTGCCTTTATCGGATACAAGAAGCAGTGTAAAGGGACTTTACAGTGCACTGATGTATAAGTTAAATCGATGTAGGGCACATACATATGATTATTTGAAGGTGGACAATTACACTAATGAATTAATCCTAAACTCAATGATACTTGGCAAATTGAATATTGCATCCGTTGCATCTTTTTACGCCTCATTCGATTAATTGTGTTAGCTAGTACGCATAGATGGAGCCGAGAATTTGAAGTTTAGTTATCTCCAAAAACTTATAGAAGGTGATGAAATAAATCTCCAATAACGAAATGTACTGAGGAATGTTAATCAAGTGTTCAAGTTTGTAGAGTTTGTAGCAAGGAAATGTACTGAGGAATGTTAATCAAGTGTTCGAGTACACGCACACACAAATGCAAGTGAAATCAAAGGGAATCAATAACAAGTCTTACAGATTACATGAATTGTCTGATATCATTATGCTTATTGACACAACCATTTCAATAAATTGTCGACTAAAAAGTCTCGCTTAACAACAAATCAAGAAAATCACAGCTAAACATACTCTGCAATTAAAGGAAAAATATACATTAGCAATAAGGAAGATTGCTAATACAAAATCCAAGGTTTGACATTTCAAAAATTGTGATTCTATGGATGCAATCAATTGTGTTTATAGAGGAGTAAGCAACACCCATTTGTTTTTGGAGGAAATATTGAAAGTGCAAGAAATGTTGTTTGCACGTATAGATTTTGCATTGATGTATGCTCCTAAAGACGCGATGACATACGCTGATCACTTGGCTCAACTTGCTCGAAACTCCGCCAACAGAATGGTCTTCCTTAATGAAATCCCCATGGATTGGAACAATGCTTTTTGCTTGACTATAATGGGGGTCTGTCCCACAGACACTAGTTAGTTTTGTGTTTTATTGTTTTCTAGCTTTATGTCACGGATGATATCTCCGTGACCGTGTAAAGACCAATGTAATGAACGATCCGCTGGTTAGCCTCGCACAATATGGGTAAAGGGGGCGACATTGGCATTGGGGGTGTTCTGCCTCAATCTTCGGACTGAGTGCACAACTGGTTGAGGGCTAGTGCCGCCTCCCTGATGAGCCCATGGCAGGGCGAAACCAGTGTGATCCGTATGTAGTAAGGCTTGTCCTGAGGATTATGGGGTCCTCTAGGACGCCGCACGGGCGCCGTGTGCTGCGCCAGACTCTCAGCCCGTGACAGAGTGGTATCAGAGCCGGACGTACTTTACTGCCGTGTGCGCGTGGGGTCCCACGTTGGGACTGGTCGACCTCGGCACCGCTCCAGAAGGCCTCCGAGCAGGTGGGTCCAAAAGTGGGGACTCGGGCGGGAAGGTTGGCCGTTGTCGACTCCACTCCTATTAGCTCGCGGGTGCAAGTGGGTCCGAAGAGTGCAGGACTTGGGTGGCCACTCAGCAGTAAGCTGATGTGTTTGTGGCAGTACTGTACGTACGATCTTTGGGCGGAGTCGTTCTCCCCTAGCACGAGGGCGTGCTAGATTGGGTGTGGGAGAATGTCACGGATGATATCTCCGTGACCGTGTAAAGACCAATGTAATGAACGATCCGCTGGTTAGCCTCGCACAATATGGGTAAAGGGGGCGACATTGGCATTGGGGGTGTTCTGCCTCAGTCTTCGGACTGAGTGCACAACTGGTTGGGGGCTAGTGCCGCCTCCCTGATGAGCCCATGGCAGGGCGAAATCAGTGTGATCCGTATGTGGTAAGGCTTGTCCTGAGGATTATGGGGTCCTCCAGGACGCCGCACGGGCGCCGTGTGCTGCGCCAGACTCTCAGCCCGTGACATTTAGCTAGCCTTGTTAATCTAAAAACAAAAAACATTCCAAAAATTGAATAGAATATTCAGCAGCGGTGCCAAAGTCTAGGAGGCTACAAAGGGACCAGAATACATTTTCCATTGGCAAGGAATATCAGAAAACCTGCTTTTTGGCATATGAAGTAGTATGGAGAAATATCAACTAGTATTCAAACAGAAAAGACCTTCAACTTTCTAAACTTGCAAGTCTGAGAATGTTCCTCTTGTGGACTTGTGTCTGCATTTACTCTATGTAAAGAGTCTCTTGAGAGTATTCATCAAAGGTATTTTCAAATTTCATCTATCTCTACTAAAAAGTCTAGGTTTCTAATGACAGAAAGTGTATGCATTTGTTCATAAAGAAAATTACCGTCTTGGGCGTTTATTATTTATCAGTGCGAAAAAATCATATGTTTGTGTTGGGTACAAGAAAACCACCCAATACTTGCAGGCATGGGAAAATCCTTGAAAAATCAAACGAATTGAAAATAGGCCATTGCTGAGGCTGGACCAGAACAAGATCCTTTGCATAAGCTTGTCTGTTTTGTCCTTATGCTCTTGCACTGATCACTACTGTGGCTCGCTGTTTTGGTATATTTCGCATGTAACTAATATCACTGCTGTCACATACATACATACATACACGTTTCTTGTTCCACACTCTAGTTTTATTGCATTTCCATATAGTGCAGCACCTTGTATACATCTATTTTCTGTTACAACACATGACATCAGATAATGTTAAACCCAATATACACAAGCTTTGAGCCAACTCAGCATGGCACATCAATAGGCAAGCTATAGAACTGTGATGATTGGGTCAGTGACAGTAAAAAGAATAAATGATATTTATATTTATGTATAGTAGAATTGTTACAGATCCTTGTTCGCATCATAGAAACAAATTTACACCCAGAGAAGTAATAAGATTATTACAGAGCGAAAATCTTCTTCTTCCCTTGTTCACTAAACCTTGCAACCTGCTAGCACTTTTCCTTCACATAACAATGAAAGAATGAAGAGCAAGGGCAGGCTAGTAGATGAAGAAGTGAATTCAAGGGCATTTAAGCCTGCCTCCATGAGTTGTCATCTTGGCGCACCAAGGACAGATGTTATCAGTGGCAGAGCCAAAACCTAAGCTAGGGTACAAGATACTTTAATTTAAAAATTAATAATTATTTTAAAAATAATAATTACGTTGGGACTGAAATTGTAATAATATAAGTAGCTAGATTGATCTTTTTTTAAAAAAAATTATATTGAATAAATTGATATGATCTTTTATATAAATATGATCTTTATATCTTATCTCGATCATTAAAATATTCCATATCCAATGGCTCCTCTCATGCAAAATATAAGCAGTTTTTAGAGAAAAAAAATTGCATAACAATAAAGTCCTTATTCTCATAAACATATATAATGTTTTCTTTTTCTTATCTTTAGTCCCAATTACTAATGCATTTCATGATAAGTGAGAGATAAGTTTATACAAAAACTTAAATTAATAAATACAAGAGGTAAAATGGGGGAAAAATTTTCACATGTACCGGGTTGCTCATATTTTGAACCAGTATCAAGAGTAAGTGTGCAAAATTGCAAAATTTACACGCCCTCATTATAATGTGGCTCTTCGACTGAATGTCATGGCTCGTAATTGGGCCGTCAGGGACATTGTTGCACCCTTGGCTGCAAGTATTGCATTCCCTCGTACATATTCTTATGTTTCTATGATTTGCTGCACCTGCACTCACACTATGCCTGGCAGTCTGCAACATTAATTTCTCTAATCAAAATCTATATCAATATATCCATACAAGTTGTAGAATGTCTTATTGCTATATAGCGTATACAATGTAGTTTATTTTGAGTTCTTTACAGATGTATGAGACTACTCCAGTTATCATCAAATCACAGACACAGAATTCAGTACTGTGAAGGCTGACATACCAATATGTTTGCCCTCAACCATGCTGTAGATCTTCAAGAACATAATTGGAAGAAGAGACCAAAAGGAGTTGATGAGTACATACATGTACAGTCAAAGTTGTTACATAGGATTATGAGAGCTGTATCATGTTCGATTTTCTGCAGTACTTGGTCATTGAAATTGAAACAAACTAATCTTGTAAATCAGAAAATGAGTTAGATATACAAGTAGCAAAAATGTTTCTGGTAAATAAGAATTATAAAAGTCCTTGAAGACAGTTTGATTATTACCTGGTGGATTAGGAGGAAGCAGAGAAGAGCCAAGACAAAGGTATTCCAGGTGATTGATGCCATTGTTTCCTACTGCTTCCTTATTGTCTTTCTAATTTTGGACAGATCCTATTTTACTCATTTTTTTACAAGTCACCCAAAGTTTAACACTGAACAATTTTGCACTAAGCTTTGGTTATATGTTTGAGTGATCCAGTTGTTACGTTTCATTTGCTAGCTCACGCAAAGTCTAGCACTAAACTGATATCGTTCAACTAAGTCAAGAGTTCGAAACCATTAAAGACAGATCAACGTGATCTTCTTCCACCACCATCTTTAATATGCAGCAACGTTTTGACAAATCAATGTATAACTTGCAAGAGTTACACAAGCCAAAGGATTAGTCATTGGTGTACTGTCCAGTGAAACTGATATCGTTCACGATCTTCCGGGTCATTTCTTCTCCAGAGTATTCCAGACTAGTCGTTGCTAAATATTCAACAATTTCATGAAGAGGAGCAAACACACGTGATTCAGTGCATACGCAAGAGTTACACATTTGCGTGGAATATTCAAGACGAAAGCCACTGAAGGAGGTGGAGTTTGTTGGTGAAGGGAAGTAAAGCGCGTTCTCTCGAGAAGTCCCACATCGTATGAAATAAAAAGAGCAGCAGGTTCTGTATATATAAATAAGCCAAGGAAACTACTGAACAACATACTTACCTGGACGGGGTCAATGGGTGATCAAGAAGGCTCATGGCCTAGGGTAGTGACTTCCATTGCACGTGGGAAGGGTGCTACCTTAAGGTCTCCTCAAGTAGGAGAGCCTACGTCATAATTTGTGGTCGTGGGGGCCTGCGTTCGCGCGGCCCTCTCAAAATTTATGCTCAAACTTTAATTTTATGGTTGATACTATCTTTTATGATTTGGTTCCTTGAGCTGTGTGATTGGTTCTTGTATGTGCACCTTTTGAATACCTTCAAGCGCAGATATACAGTATATGGGCGAAGCCATGTACAGGGTGGATTGAGCTCAATGAAGATGGATGGACAAAAATGGTCAGTGGCAAAGGAAGCTTAAGTTGAATCACATCTTTAGTCTTAACAAAGCCCTGTGATCCCGATCTAATTAAACATGAAAATAAAAATGTTTGTTTCGGTAGTGTTAGAATTGGTGAAATTAGATTCGAATTATAAATTTAAAATATTATTTAAAATCCATGTATTTAAATTTTTTTTATTTGCATATAGTAATAAAAAAATTTCAAATTCAAAGACAAAGAAAAAGAAAGGGGGTCAGAAAAACGAAAATGGGAAGATAAAGAGGGTGAGGGTTATACACAGTACATAGCAGCAATTATAAGCATATTGGCCATAAAAAGAAAAGAGAAAGAGCCTTGGTAAAAATAAAAGAATCAATGATATTTGAATTTACATGCACAAGAAATGTTACAGATCTCAGTTTGCATCACAGAGAAACAAAATATAACCAGAAAAGCGATAATATGATTACAGAGAGAAACTATATAGGCTGTATACAAGCATGACCTGCTTCAAATTCTGCTATACAGAGAAATAAACAAGGGTCAAGTAATTAGGGTAGGCTTGCATGTACATACTCATACACTGACATAAAGAAAGGAAATTAAGGGCACTTGAGCCTTCCACCATGAGTTGTCATTTTGGCGTAGCAAGAGCAGGCGTCCCGGCTTGCCGTAGGGCCATCAGGAACACAATTACACCTCTGGCAGCAAGTGTTGCATGCTCTCAAGCACATCTTCTGCTTCCATGATTTGCTGCACCTATACTCGCACTTTTTCTGGCAGTCTGAAACATTAATTATTCATCAATCCATTCTTGAATTGCAAAGTAGAAAGATGAGAAAAAGAGAGAAGGCACTTAGCAACTGTTGAACTCAACATGATGCTATGCGGCGGAGACTATGTTATGAGTCTCATATTAAAAAGCCTCACGAGAAAAATAAGGCTTACAGGTTCAAGAGATTCTCTTATTCAACACGTTAGTTTTTTAAGATAGACTCTTTCATTAGACTTATTCTCATAACATAATAGATTATGGAGAGCAGTAAATCTCATTGCACATAAGAGTCTTGCCCTTAAGCATTTTAGGAGATCCAAATTTAAACATAATCACCTCACTAAAAATTCAAAGATATTTGCTACAGGATTGTAAATGCTTGCTTACCTATCTGCTCAGCCTCAACCATGCCATATATCTCTAGCTGAAAAGGTAAAAAAATTGGGAATAGTAACGATGTGAGAGCACTATGTATAAAGTAAAAGTTGTTGCATAACATCGTTGAAATGAATTGTCCTCTCAAAAGCCAAAGCAAAATAAAACATGAACAAAGGAGATGTCAATTCCGATGGAACCTATTCAGGACTCTCAGAAAAGAGAAGAGAAGGATTGTGTTTTAAATATATATGTTTTATAGTACTTGGCTAATAAAATTGAAACAGATCACTTACTCACACAGTAAATTAGAAAGAAGAGTTAGATAGACAATTAGCAGAAATTGAACTATAAACTTGTAGAATACATCAACTAAACAGATGAATCATCACATATTGTATTGACTTATATTATCATGCTTAATTACCTGGTGGATTAGGAGGAATCAGAGAAGAGCCAAGAATCATCACATATTGTATTGACTTATATTATCATTATGCTTAATTACCTGGTGGATTAGGAGGAAGCAGAGAAGAGCCAATGCAAAGGTATTTCTGGTGATTGAGGCCATTGTTTCCTGCTGTTTCCTTATTGATAAAAGAAATTTTATTTATTTATTTATTAGTTAAGAAAATTAAAAAATAACTCAGTAACAAAAAAGATTTATAGGAGAAGAAAGGTTTTATTTGAGGAAATACCTATTTTGCTTTCCCCAATCTTCTCTGTTCCAAATAAAGGTTTTATTTGAACACTTTCTAGCCATGACTATTCATGGATTGGCTAAATAAAGGCTTTGGTTTTCTAATTCCTAACCTTTTTTTTAATCATTTCTATCGCAGCATTTCTCATTGAAGCGTCAAATTAACATTTAAATTTGAAGTTCAAATATATTTTTGTTCATTTTAAAAAATCAAATTGATCTTTTGAATAAAAGTAATGAATGCTATCTTTTTATTTTCAAAATCACCTAATTTTATTCCCTTATAATCTTATAATTCACATAAATTTAAAGCTACACCGAAGAATTCGTTGGTTTAAATTTTACATTCACGTCAACATATTGTCACTTCAGATGAAAACTTATCCAAAATGCCACTTCAAGTCAATATATTAAATATGTATACTAAAAGCTATTGGAAATAGCATTTATTAAAAAGTTATAGTTATGGAACTCACAAATCCTAACATGAGAAAATGAAAGTATAGGGAGTGAAATTAAGGTCATCTGATATCATCAATGGCTTTAAAGGATGGGAATTTACCGATTTACCCTCACTAGTCACTCTGAAGTTATCAAAGGAACCGATATATGTGAGAAGATCATGAACAACCGGACTAAGGAATATGATCCATAAACAAGCTTAGTTAAGCCACAATTCATTCAATTCAAAGTGATTTTGAATCAAAGGGAAACGAAAGGCCCGCTTGGTTCGCATGGAATATACTTTCTCAAAAGCTCATTTATTTTGCTCCTCACACTGTTTGCCTTGAATATTGAGCCTAGAACATATTTGAAGTTCCAGAAGCACTATTTGAATAGGCACGGAGTCTGCCTCTTCAACTTGAAAACCAAAGAACCCTCGAAGGTGAGAACCTTACAAATCTTCTTAAATCTTCAACTTAAATCCCTCTCCAGAAACTGTAATCCTTGCCCCGCACATTAATTGGTCCTCTTTTTATATAATTAAATTGCTATCAGGCAGTGCTAACTTATTTTTCCAGTTCACAAGATTTAAAGTCAAGTTTTTGCTTAAGAAAAATTACATCTCTTCTACTTAACCTAGCCATTATTGGCCCACCAAGATGGATCTTCACTTCAAGTGAAATCTGAAACAAATCAGAAGCATGAAATCAATGCATTACCATTGAATTGTTCTATCGTCCATATATGTTCAGTATATTCTTGAATTATTCAACCAACACAAGAACATGATCACTGTTGCGAAGATAATACAACTCTTAAATAAGATATACACAGAAGTCAGCTTCATAATAAATTCAAATGAAATGCTTCTCCATGTTGAATGAAAAAACTTAGAAGCAATTTTTAAGAGGCTGCTATCACATCTTCTAATAGAACGACATAGAGAACTGTATTTGAAGAATCAATGATGTGATGTTAAGTTGTGGAAGAATATATTATATCCACATGTAACGTTTCTATCAGAGAACTTGATGGCAAACAATTAGAAACTTCACCTAAGTGTTGCCCTGTCAAAAGAACAAAAGGTGGCTAGCTAGAAACGAGCCCAGCATCGAGTGCATTGCGCTATACAGTCTCCCTTGCAATCTACATTGTAACCCAAAACTTTCGGATTTCGAAGGAGCAGGTTTCGGAGAGACTTTTCTTTAATACCCCATTCTTTTTCCAGGATTTTCACATTGCTTTTCAGCTCATCCTCTAAACTGCATCCGAGAACCTCGGGGAATTTCTTTAGCAGCTTGGTCAAATCATCATCAGAAAGACTTAAGCTCCTCAGATACTCTAATACTCCATTCACTGTTTCAAACTTGGGAATTTCTTTCTCACGTTCCTCTCCCCAGTATGGTGAATTAACGAGGCCAAATGCTTTTCCAAGTATCTTGTCCTTTTCTTCAACACTAAAATCAAATGTCGAAAGAGCTTGTCTACAGGCTTCCCACATACACTGATCTTCTTTGTTTGTGATCATATCATCTATCTGTACAGAATACATCATCCATTTCTTCAGAGAAACATTTGTTGCCCATGCTGCTTTGGTCGCACTTGGTAAAAGTCTACTCGAAAAGCTTGTGTTTGATGGTATGATACCCTGTGGAGAAGCGGCAAGATCAACCTGTGTGGTTATGTAGAATTATTAGACTATATATCACATTTTCATCTTGAAAGTCCAGCGAGAGAGACGCATGAAAACTTTTGAACTCTTACAATTAAATGCAGCATAGGTACACAATAGAAATTAGTCCCAACAGGTCAACTTTCAAAGCAAATATTAGGAGCTGGCCTTCAGCAAATTAATATTTTAGATGTGAATACAACCAACGGCAATTTACCAAGGACTTCAGGATTATGAAGCAAACCTTTGAAAAGGTCCAAAAAAATTCTATATGTGTAGATTCCTTTGAAAAGGTTACAGCCAAGAGAATCCAAAACAAGAGAAGAATAAGAACCCAAGAAACATACATGGCACCTACACCAGAACACATCCTTTGTAACATTTATAATCTGACAGGGCCGAAATAACATTGATTGTTTAGCCAGCTTCACCAACAATAAGACGGTTGACAAAGCCCTACCCATTACAGAGATGGTACAATTTACACTTTTCACCCCCGGACAACAAACTTTGGCTAACCACTGGTTTCCCCCCACTTACCCAGCAAAATCAGAATAACTAAAACCCAAGCATTCCACCACCCTCCAACATCTTCTCACTAATAAAAAGGCACCATTATAATGCACAGTCGCTGGCAGCACAATACAAACCTGTAGAACTGTGGACTTATTTATTGCAGTCCTTTAAAAATTTAGTGCTACTGTTACTCACATCATGACTTTCCCCAAAAATTTAGAACCATGTTACATAGCTTTGCCCAAAAATAAAAAAAGATTATACAGAAATTTATAGATGATAATAGTACTGATTACTCAGTGCTGCTGAAGAACCCAACATCAACTCTAGAACTGCGTACTTTTTCCTTCTCATTAAGCATAAGTAAAGCCCAAATTCAGTCATCCTTTCCCTGAACGAACCTAGAAAGGACTATCTACGTTTCAAAGCTTTACCCCAATGGGGAGAGGGGAGAGCATAGAAGTAAACAGGTAGCTCTATCATGTTCATAGCATAGACTGTAACTGCAATTACAGGCATTGAGATGTCAAAGGCACTCACCGTACAACAGAAGGATTGTGCAGGCAAAGTCAACGGTCTCCCCAGCATCTCTGGACTGTAAGAACAAACATAAACATGTAAATGAAGTAAATTAAAGCATAAATTGAACAACTAGCCATAAATTAACTTGTGGGGAAAGAGAATGAAGCAAAACGATATAATGAGCAATGTTAAGGACCCCAAAACAACTACTCCACAGTAATAGTAGAAGCAAACATTTGACGATGCAAATTACAAAAATTCATCACCAAAGAAACAAATTATCCCTGAAAGGCGAAATTCCAAAGTTTTGATCGAATCATGAATCACCCAACTAATGTTTCAACGAAGGCATCGGAAATTATGAAATTAGAATCATCATAGATTATAGAGGAGGAAAAGATAAAGCAACCTACGACAACTGCGAGCCCTACAGCTGAAGCTACCGGACAAAGCACAATAGCAAACCTGAGACTTCCCTGCTGCAGTTTCGCTGGCCAGCGCCAGAAGATGCATTTTTTTTTTTTTTTTCTGTGGTTATGTGTGGGTTCAACGTTTTGGTGGTGCAGAAAATTTCAGTTGACGGGAAAATGCTTTCTACGTTGTTGGAAGGGAAAATAGCAACTAAAAACCATCGAAAGAAATTTATAACACTAAAGATTGATTGTTGTCAAAACATAAATAAAAAATAAATTTAAATGATTGTTATTAATTTAAAATAAATTATTATTAAAATTTAAATATATACTTATTGATAAAAGATTGACCAACATCAATAAATATCCATTCATAACAAATAATTCTTGATTAATATAAATTTTCTTTGATAATTCTTAATTGATATCATTCTTGTTGTAATTCAAACATGCGCTTTGTTGTTTAACTTTAATTTAAGTATTACACTCAAATATATTTTAAGGTGAATATGATTTTTGTCATTTAAACTCATGGTTAATTATGTTCCTCAATATTATAAATTCAATTCTCAATGCTCCTGATGCTGTTCTTCTGTTATGTAGGTACCATATATAATTTTTTTAATATTTTTTTGTTATAAAATGTTGCAAGTTCAACCAATATTTTTTATAATATAAAAAATTCTCTTTCTTCCATTTTCTCTCCCCCCTCTCCCTTGTCTTCATTGGACTTATTATAAGATCACAATCTTGAAGACCATTAGTAAGATCTCAATACGTCTAGCTAAGCAAGAAGAGCGAATGACTACCTCCTCTCATCCCCTTTTAAACTTGATAGAAGGACTCCTACACTTGAGACTACTAAAAAAGATGGTGATGAGAACACAGAGGATCAAGAACCATGGTCTCATGACAACTTTGATCACCTTCATTCTAAATCATCAATCGCTTCTTCCCTAATCTACTCTTCCATCTTCATCCACCTTAGGCATGCTCATGAACTTAGAAATCAGTTCCTCCCCAATCAAGCATGGGAGGTATTGTCAAAAGATTCTTGGTTTTTGGAGTGGTCTTCTTGGTTATTGTACAAGTAAACAAAAACGATCCATGAAAGCACCTAGAATGTCTAAATTGGAGCAACTTATAAGCCAGATGAATGACAAATATGATGAGGTTCAGACACCAAGAACTACACTGTCAATGCTGAAGAATATCATCAACCAAGTTCCTAGGCCTAACCAGGAATCTATGAAAACATTTACAAGATCTATGATAGAACATGTTGTTAGCAAGGCTTATCATAGACATGTGAGACCTGAAAGGTTCAACAACAAAAAGCCATGCAAAGACCAATCAATACAAGAGAAGTAGTAAATGAAAATAGAAAGAAACCTCAAGTACTCTATTTTCATGATCTTGGAAGAGAGTAAAACAAATGAGTGGTGCAGAAAAGGATAAGCAGTTACTATGAAGAAGCCATAATGATGACATGCATGGTTGAGTTGGTGAATGACGATGGCATGAATGTGAGGACTAAGGGAGAAAAGGAGGGAGAAGTTAATGACGTGGATGAAAGCAACTAGCTCATCAGCCACATCATTTCAACCTTCATAATCAGTGAGAGTATAGTAGTAGGAAGGGATCGTTGCGACATTGTATGATTCCTCTAATAAAGGCTTTAACGCTTGAGACTTTGGAGTCGAAAGCCATGGATGAGGATTCAAAATTTCATATTCAAAGCAATATGTTGTGGCAAATAAAAACCCATGTTATTTTCCATGAGACTTTCTCATACTTAATTACATGATGGAGAATAAAATTATGTTGATCTTTCTTCGAGAAGTGTAATAGTTCTACATCAATAGAGTTGACATTTATGGTTATCTTTGCATTGCTGTGTGACTTTCTAGTACTTAATTACATGATGAAAAGCCATTAGTTGGGTTTGCCATATGGAGGCTCTTCATCCTAAAACATGCAAATCTTAACTAAATCTACAACATTAACATTATAACATAACCTAATGGAGGCTCTTTATCACCCTGGTTTTTACTTCTACCCTATTGAAGAAGAGTTCAACTCCTTCTACCTCCATGACATGCTCAAAGGTCTCAGACTCAATATCCCTATTCTTTAGATCTACAATGTTGAGCCCTAGCAACTCCTATATACACATTCGCTCCTCAATCATTAAGAAGGTATCATACATGCCACAGTTATATACATGCTTTTGTTTCATTATTGAGAATCATAGGAAACTTAACCGATTGAAACTTTGATTTCTTAACCATCAAACTAGCATCCTGTAATTTCAAAGTGAGAATAGAGGAGAGAGAAGGAATGGAGGAGAGAGAACATGTTCATAATACTATGCCCACTGAAAAGCTTGCTTGTTGCTCAAGACATCATGCTTGGATGAAGTAGTAGTTGTTGTTGAGGATCCATCAAGAATCAGCATCATCTATGAGATGACATTGTTAGAGAGCCTTATGAGTTATTGGTATGCTTTCTCCATCTCTCTATTCTCTCTCTCTCTCTCTCTCTCTCTCTTCTCACCTCTTGCCTTGCTTGAATTTGTGCCCTCTCTACCTATATCAATCTCAATGACTTCCATGCTGTGTTCAAGCTTAAGTCATGGTGGAGTACATTGCTGATTTAGAGGAAAGAGAGGGAATAAAGGAGAGAGGAGAGAAGGAGACAACGGGAAATGAGAAAGAAGGGAGAGGGAGAAAAAAAAAATATAAAAAAATTATAACACAAGGCTCACTATTATAATATGTTTGGCTAGATAATGTTAGGGTGTTGAAGGTTGAAATTTTAAACATTAGATGATAGAATTGATTTACAGTTGAATTTAAGAAGCTCAATGACTTTTCAAATAAAGTTAAAAAGTAAAAATAACCTTTAGTATGCTTGTTACCAAAAGTTTTAGTTTGATGGTTGATTTAATATTATTAAGTAATCCTCTATACCTAATATTATTACTTCTTATTAATAGAAAATATCGGTACCATAATTTTAAATACTGGTAACAAGTTACTGAATGATTATTCTTTCGATTAAATTATTTTTTAAAATTAAATTTAACATGTCATAATAATTTATCAAATTTAAAATTGCAATGCAATTATTTTCTATTAATAAAACTAATATTATTAGAGGTAAAAATATTTTAAATTTTTTTATAAAATTAAGGGATTAACATAAAATCTTATGCATACATGACAAAAATGATGAGGATATATAAGCTTTTTGTAAAATGATAAAACTATGATAGAGGTTTTTTCATTTCCATGTATGATAGAGGTTAATAAAACTAATCGGGATTAATATTAATAAAAATTTGGACCATGAAAAATAGGTTAATTGGCCTGATAAAACTGCGTTGGGCTTAAAATTAAAGAATAAATATAACAAATGAATAAAATATTCTAATTGAGTTTTCAGAATTTTTAACTATTTCTAGATTCCAGATTTTCACCTGAGATCTAAACAAGGAATTTTCTTAAGTAGTTTGTTTAGAAAACATATTAAAATAAGATCAACACTCTGAATTAATTTTTTTTATGTAAACTCTGAATTAAAATTTTTAAAAAAATTGGATACTATGATGCCATTGTCGTTATAATTATGTCATAGAATTCGAGATAGATTTTACTATTGATGCATAAATTGATTGATTATCTTATAATTTTTATATAACTATCTATTATTCATAGATCTGGCAATAATTATTTTATAAATTTTATTATATTGAACTTTAGCTATGATGAGCATTTCTTCATTAGGAAGAAAACGTCCATGATTCAACGATCAAACTTTCTTCATCACAAAAAAAAAGGAAAAAGAAAAAAGAAACGGGTGCGGAAATGAAAAATAAAAAAGGAGGAGAGAGAAGAGAAGAGAAGAGAAGAGAAAGACTATCAAACGAAATCAATCAACGCACCGTTAGTCCTCCTGCTATTTTCTGCATCAATTTTGCGGGAGAATAAAAATTCGAATCCAAAATCCGCGTGATTGATTTCAAGTTTCGACATCAGCATGTGAAACTGGACGCAAGCTGTAATCTTTAACCGTCGCGGTGGCTTCCGGCGCTCCATCGCCGGTCGAGTTCTCTCTGGCTCCGGTGATTAATTAAAAATTGTAAAAATTATATATATTAAATGCATAGTTAATAGAAAACTTCCAAGCCCATTCACTTTTCTATTCCACTTTCACATTCACAGAATTAAAATCTTTGTTTCTCTTGCTTCCTATCACAGTCTTCAGTCTTCTCTCACCCAATCTTCACCGTCACATCACAATAATATGCCAACTTTGTGCAAAATAAGCTTGTTGTTAATGCACTTGTGAAGTTCAGAGAGAAAGAGAGAGGGTGGTATTACAATGAGAGCATGGCTCTGCAAAGACAATCAGGGATGGAGAGGATTGGGGTTCGGGGAAGCCATGATCTGCACGATGCGAACGGTGCGGCGGATCACGTGACCATTGGGGTTTATGCCCCGCCGCATAAGCAGCCAAGGCTCCGGCGATCTGTGCGATCCGACTGGACACGCAAGCTCACGGCAGGGCTTATTCCGGTGTTCCTGTTCCTCGCGCTTGGCGTCACTGTCATAGCGTATTATTACCTTTCCCTGGACGGTAAAATTAAGCTTTGAATGAGAATGTTTGTTTCAATTACAATGCGTTTGATTCTGGGCTGGTTTGATTTTAGTCCGGTCTGAAATAGTGGGTTGCATCTTGGATTTTGCAAGATTGGTAATTGTTTCCTCTTTTGGGCTGGTAGGATTACTTTAGAGTGGGAAACGGTATTGTAAGAATACTTGTGTTCTTTTGTTTGATTCTTTTAACCAAAAGTCCACCTGATCATCTAGCTGCATTTTTTCTCCTGATGTTTCCTTTCAAGTCTTGGAACAAAATTTTTCTGAACATTTTCTGCCAAGATAATGCTGTTGTTCTGAGTTCTTACGAATTTGATTCTAGGACTATCAGAAGCTTCTCGATGATTTAACTTGTCAATTATTAAACCGTGTTTGCAGAAGTAAACAAAGATAGTGATGAGAGTGATGATTTAAAGAATGATTCTGATTTTCTTACAAATGTGCCACGAATAGAGAGGAGCAGGGTCCTTGAGTTTGGGAATGGTTCAGTGGGTGGTCATGGACGAGATTCAAGGTATTGGGATAGGGATGATAGGCGAAGGGATGGAGATTACAATGAGGATGTGGTGGAGCAAATCAACAAGGATGAAAATATTGATAAAAGCGGTGCTTTTGATAAGATGAAAAGCAATATAAGGTCTTCAAATGGTGATCCTCACAAGGGTTCAGAGAAAAGAGGTGTTGGCTTGTACAATGAAGCAGGGCGTCATGAATTGAAAAAGTATGAAGCAGAATATGAGGCCTCCTTGAAGAATGCAGTAAACTTAACTGAGAATTATGACAAAATGTCTTTTGATGCTGGTCAAGAAAAGATGAATGCTGCAATTGATATTGATGATGAGTATGATGACTTTTCTGATTCTCAGGATGGTGGAATGGAAGATTACGGGGACAGCAGAAATGCAGGGGAGAAACATTCCAATTCTAATATGCTAAAATTTGACAGTGAAGTTCATGGAGCATCGCTTCATTCTTTTGATCATGGAGTTAAGGATGATATTGTTTCTGAAAATGCTGAGGGAGAAACTTCCTTAAACATAAAAACCTCCCATTCTGTGAAAGGAAATTCTCAACAAGTCAGTCATGAAGATGGACAATCGATGAAAAAATCTCATTCAGAAACAAAGAAGAAACGTAAACGCCGCAAATTTTCAGGTAACGTTTATGATTGCCACTGGTGATTTCATTGATTTTCCTGGTTATCTGTTTTTTGACAGGAAATTTTATTTGCATTTGTATCTTGGTTTATTATCAATTAGATCGGTGCCTCATCACTGCAAAATTATGGAGATATAATGTCTTGATAGAGGCACCTGGCTTTTTTGGCTTTTGTCTTGTCTTCTGGTTGCTTTAGTTTGCCATTTCTTGGGGTTTTGCCCACTGATTGTAAATTCTGTTCATTTGAATGAAATCTCCTTTTCCATTTTAAAAAAAATTATAGAGATATAATTGCCATGAATTTTGCACATTTCATCTTACTGAGTCTGTACACTGGGCAAAATTTATTGCTTTATCCTGTTGCGATTTGGTTGGTTCATGGATCAAAGGTAGAGCCTTGCCTTATCCAGCAGGAAAGCTGGATACAGGAACTGCACAAAGATAAGGTTTTCCTACTAGCTTGGGTAAAGGAATACCTTGGCTTTATCCAACTATGAAAGTAGCTAAAAGACTTGTCTTATGTATCAAACGTGTTTTCTCGTTTGCTTATCCTAGGCATTTGATTTTATAATGATCTTTAACTTTTATGAATGCCAATGCATAATCAGGTAGTCAATATGATCGTTTTCACCTTGGCCAATATGAATCCACATTGTTAGGAGTTTGTGGCCTGGGAATCTACTCCAGCTTTATTTTCATTACTTGATAATTTTTTCATATTGCTAGCTTGTAACTTGGGATGAATTTGTGACAATCTTCAACAAATCATATTCTTCTGCTCAATTTATAACTTTTTTCTAACCAAAGAAATGAAAAATCAATGTAGATATTGATGTTGATCACCTGCTTTATGTAATTTGATCAGCTATAGCTAATATTGGTCCATTGTCCATGTGTGGCCTCTATCTTTGATGTCTTAAATTGATCTGTTTTGGTCTTAGAAAGTAGTGGCTCATATTAGTCGGATGATTGCTTTTTCTGAGTACGTGAACCAATTATTTATGGGCTTTTGATTGTACATTATCTATAGACAAATGGCTAATAGCAGTGTTTTTCTCCTTTTTGTTGTGGAAATGCAAAAAAACAAAAGGGTCTCTCTCTCTCTCTCTCTCTAGCCATTTTAAGATCTTTTTGATAACTTCCTTCTTTCCTGGCTTGTCAATCTGGTGATAGTTGACAATTAAGTTAGATATGGAAGTTTAAGCAAGATAATTTTGATGAGAATTTGAGTTTAACTCAAGTACTTCCGCTACTATTCGTGGTTGTGTTTGCCAATCCAAAATGCTGAAGAAATGACTGGGTATAATGGTTGGATTACAAATTTGGAAATATTTGGTAATGTCCTAAATATAGGAAAGTTTGTTCCTTTGTTTTTTTTAAATAAACAAAAGTTTGTTCTTTTTTAAGTAGATGAAATTAAAAGTTTGTTCTTTTTTAAGTAGATGAAATATTTGCTGTTGTTACCATCTCTCGCGGGTCAAAGTTGACAATAACTAACCCATTAGCATGGATTTTGAAATTTGACCAGTTTTTGAAACCAAAACATAATTGTGAGAAACCCCCTTCGATATTTTTTGTGTTCATTTGGAAACGCTTCAAACAGCTCTCTAATTGGAAAATAGCCCTATCAACAATGACAAGTGGGGATTTACATCCTCTTCTCGTATCATCTCTAGTTTTCTGTGTCTTGTTTAAAGAATTTGGCTATTTGACAAGTTGCAAATCAACGTGGGTGTGCCATGTGGCAGATGAAGAGTCTGAAGTGGTTCAACTTTGTTTAAGTTTATCTAGTTGGATTTTGTTTCAAATATTTGAAAGTTGTTCTTTGTTTTGCAAACAGTACCATACAGAACAGGTGAAAGTTTTGGATCTTGGTTTTATTTTCTCCATTACTTACTTGACACGTCACATGACTATGCTTCAGGGTCTTGTGAGATGAAGTTGTTAAACTCAACATCACAACTTGTTGAGCCTCTGGAAAGTCGAAAATTTGTAAGATTTAACTTGCAGTATGCAGAAAAAGAAGAGAAGCCTTTGGGAGATGAACAATGGGTGCCTAGATTTGCAGGGCATCAAAGCTTAGAAGAGAGGGAAGAGTCATTTTTGGCTCAGGATCAAAAAATTAAGTGTGGCTTTGTCAAAGGTCCAGAAGGTTTGCCAAGCACCGGATTTGACTTGTCAGAAGATGATTCAAATTACATTAGCAGATGCCATATTGCAGTTATCTCATGCATTTTTGGAAATTCTGATCGGTTGAGAACACCAGCTACTAAAACGGTACTAGTTATGCTTTCTATCTTATTTCTTTCTGTCTTATTTCATTTTCTGGGTTCATTAGGTTATGGATAAGTACCATGGATTTTTGCTTTAAGGAAAATCATGTTATAATGTTTGAGTTCTATACTTCTATTAAAGGAATGTAATGTTTTCTTTTCTTCCTTTCTTTATTTAAGAAATTGTGCTTGATTGATCTGCAATTATTGTAATTTGCTTCAAGCTCATGTATTTTGATAATAATGTGGTCAAAAAATCTGACAGGGAATTTAATATTTGCCTGACTTCTTGTGTTTCAACGTGGTTGGCTTTGAGGATCTTCTAATTGGTTGATCACCTTGGGCTTCAAAAGGCTATTAGATCTTTTCTCTTCTTTTTTTGCCTGAGATTGATGTTGAACTCCTGAAGTTACTAACAATATGCTTAAGTCTATACGAATAAAGCTAAATACAAGATCCAAACAGAAAAACAGGATGTTTCAACAATAATATAACAAGCGTTTAGTTGGAAATTGATTGGCCTGTTATCATTGTTTACCTCAATGGAAAGGTACAAAACATGGATGATACTCGACATGCGTGATAAGAAAATGGATGCACTCATATAAATTTAATATAATTTGTTTGGCTTCATTGACAGGGAAATTGTATACTATTTCAAATATTTCAAGCAGTTCCAACCAACTTAATCACTGATTACCTTTCCAAAATTGCTTTATTACAATGTATTCAAAATTCTGCCTGTGAGAGTGAGTGGTTTTGGGTTACTGTGTGAAACTGAACAATTGGTCAGAGCTATTTATAATTTGATTAATGCTAACAGTTGATTGCTACAATTGTAATGATAATCGGGGTTATTTTGATTTTAGGTCACTCGTGTGTCGAGGAAGAATGTCTGCTTTGTAATGTTCATTGATGAAGTCACACTGCGAACACTTGTGTCTGATGGTCATGAGCCTGACAGAATGGGTTTCATTGGATTCTGGAAATTAGTGGTAGTGAAAAATCTACCTTATGATGACATGCGGAGAGTGGGAAAAATACCTAAATTATTGCCACATCGGCTTTTTCCTGCTGCAAGGTGACAATGAGCTTCCTTAAACATTGTGGTTAACCATTTTCTAAACCTTCTACCATTTGGCTGTGTTAAGTGGCATTTTTCAGCACAAGTGACTTTTCCAATCATGGTGTCATTGAAACATAATGCAGGAATTTGTTAATACATTTCAGTCTGCTGTAGGCAATGGGCTTTGAATTTTTGGTAATCACATTCACTTGATTATCAAGAACCTGTGGTTGGATATTTCTGTTCCCTATATTTGTCTTAATTCATTCATAAACGAATTAGGGGAAGAAATGAAGGAAAATTTACTAATACAAACTTTGATGTGATTGGAATTGAAGGTGGGGATGCTTTGTTTTAAGATGGTTTTGATTTTGTTTTTTTTATATGCATCATAGACATGAGAACTGGCGTGGATGGCAGAAGGTAAAGCAGGAAACTGAAGAGCTGTAGAGAAGAATAAAAATATGTTCGAGAACTGATAGATAAAATTATTTTTGCAATAAATTTACTGTAGGATACATCCTGGATAGAGTTAAACAATGGAAGAGAAACCTGGTCGAACATTATTTTTAAGTTTGATTGATGATTTGGCATGTGAAACTAAATAAGGCGTTTTGTTTTTGTGGTTTCCTATTAGAAGAAATATCGAGCGTTTTGGTTTTTGGTTAGGTTTGTCCATCCAAGTTATTTGTTTTCCTGGAGCATCCTTGAGTTATTGATCTACAATTTTAGCCAATGTTTTGTCCTTGGAATCTCCTACCTTTTTAGTCTGATTTGCAATATGAGATTCTTGGTGCTATATTTAATCCTGAAAACTCGAATTTTAGAACAGTTTAGTCCTCATTACTGCAGCATGTTGTGCAATAGAATGGTAAAGCCCATTCTGATGTCCTTTCTTTTTATAATGATGTCATGTTTTTCTTGATCTAGAAGATTTGCATATCATATAAGGTTATTAGCTATGAGCTTCTTAGTATATCTTTTAGATGGAATTGCCATGCATATCAGACATTTCTGCATAAATTCATCTGCTAAGCTTCATTTTTTCCTACACAGGTCCAGAAGCGTGCTATCTTTTCACTTCTCATTTTATGTGGTGTTATAGATAGGCCCACCAAAATTTATTTCAACTTGCTCTTTTTTGCTTGGCATTTCTGCCTTTTGTTCTTAGTAACCTGTCAGGCTTGTAGTCAGTAATGAAAGGTACCTAAAACATTTCTAATGGCATTATTTTATAAAGGGTTAGGTTCTGCTTTACTTTCTTACTGCTAAGCTCAGTACATTCACAGAGATGCACACTAGGAGCATGTAAGGATTTGGAAATATAAAATATGAAATTGCTTATCACATTCTTGTTTTGTTAGAACCTGATATAGATTCTAGGATTAATTCTAACATTGTTGGCTGTCTCCAACAGTGGACTTATTGTCCTTTCGTTTCTATTCTCAAGCTTCAGAGTGCCCGAGGTCCTACACTTTTTATTCAGAGCAATAGTGTTTAAAATTTATGCTTTTGGTTTTCTTGCAAGCCTCCAGGTATACAATCTGGTTGGACAGCAAATTGCGTCTCCAGCTTGACCCTCTACTTATCTTGGAGTACTTTTTATGGAGAAAAGGTTATGAATTTGCGATATCCAATCACTATGATCGGCATTGTGTTTGGGAAGAGGTTTCACGAAACAAGAAATTGAACAAGTACAATCATACTTGGATAGATCAACAATTTGCATTTTATCAGGCTGATGGACTGAAAAAATTTAATGCTTCCGATCCAAAGAAGCTTCTCCCCAGCAGTATGTTCTTTTAAGGATTTCTCTTCCGTGAATTCTTCAAAGTCCCAATTCAAATCCTCTTCCTTAACTGTCTTAAAAAATAATTTGCTTTGTGCTTTATGACAGATGTACCTGAAGGTTCCTTTATCATCAGGGCACACACTCCAATGACTAATTTGTTCTCCTGTCTTTGGTTCAATGAAGTCGATCGGTTTACTCCTCGTGATCAGCTAAGTTTCGCTTACACTTATCAGAAGCTGAAAAGGATGAACCCTGATAAACCTTTTCATCTTAACATGTTCAAGGTAAAGAAAGTTTCCAGCAGACCACACTATGCGAACATTGCTTGCTGCGATAATGGTAATTGATGTCATGGGACGGTTATAGTCTTATTTGGACCCAGCCTGGTTGGTTGGTCCAACCAATGAAATGACATCGAACCATTCTTGTCCCAACAATTACTTTCTCTATCTGGTAATTGAACTGGATTGACCGGGCAGTTGAACTGCTGGCCGAGAGTAATTGAACCACGTTGGGTCTAATCTGTTTTGCAATAATTAATCTTTTTACTTCATATGAATTGGATAAAATAACTTAGTCTGTGGCATATAATTGATAAAAAAAAAAAAGACTATATTATATGCATAGCTATGGCTTTTTCTAAATATATTCTAAGTTTAAAACGCAGGCGCGCTGTGTTGGGTCATGGATGGGTGGTTCAACTTTTAATTAAATATAGTTCGTTCAACTGATTCTATAAGTGATCTAATGGTTGAACTACTGATCCAGCTCCCTTATTGATTCAATGTCCGCTTAGTGAAAGGACCAAGAATGTGTATTTCTCATTTTTGTTGGTTTCTTGGGCCCAGGATTGTGAGAGGAGACACATGGCCAAACTGTTTCATCACAGGGTGGATGAGAAACACCGACAAAAGGTCACGGAGTAAAGTATGTGTTCGCGGGCATATTTTGACCTTGATCTGATGTACTTGGCCTGTCTCTTCAATCACTGTTAATATTGTGATCCCATGCTTGCCCATGCGAAGTTTCGGCCACATAATTTAGAGACTCAATGATACTGCACAGGTGTTTCCAAGAGGAGCTAACTGTTGGTAGACATATCACACGCGATTATTATGCTTATATATATATATATATATATATTCTGTATCCATTCATTGCAGTAAATTCATTTCTTCCTCTGGGAAGCAAAGAGAACCTCAAGATATGACCTCGTGGCCATCACCTACAGCAGCTCCTGGTCATTTTCATTTTCATACTTCTGGGATTGCTTTGTTGTATGTAGAAAATTTTGATATGGTAGGTCATTCATCCATCCTCTTGTCAGGAATCCGACTTTTGTGATTCTTGTATCAATTATTGATTCTATCACTGCACTATTCTTTATATTATCATGGTAATCGGTTATAAAGATGAATTTGTTGCTCTGGGTTTCCATTCCCTCTTGTATTGCATTCGCATGGTTGAAAGTATTGCTACGAATGACCATCATGTTTATGTAATCGGGAACCATCCAAATCTTTTCATACGACTTACAGCGTATAAATTGAAATGAAAAATAATTTTAAATGGATTGTTGTTAATTTAAAATGACTTGTTAAAACTTAAATGAATATTTATTGATAAAAGATTGACTTGAATTAACAAGTATCAATTCAAGTTTTGTTAATAAATGATTATTGATTGATATAAATTTTCTCCAGCTTTTTTTTAGAGAAAATATCAAGGACCGTTGGAGGAAATTTATATCAATCAAGGATTAATTGTAGTTAAAACTTGAATAAAAAATAAGTTCGAATGGTCTGTTATTAATTTAAAATGAATTAAAATTTAAATAAATACTTATTGATAAGATTAATTTGAATTAACAAGTAGTCATTTGAGTTTTAATAACCAATGATTCTTGATTGATATAATTTTTTTTAATGGTCCTTGATTGATTTAAATAGGGAAAATATTTAAGGAAAAATATCAATTAAAGACTGTTAGAGGAAATTTATATCCGTCAAGAATCAATTATTGTTAAAACTTGAACGAAAAACAAGCTCAAATGGACTATTATTAATTTAGAATAAATTATTATTAAAATCTGAATATATAGTTGTTGCTAAAAGATGAACCTGAATCAATAAATATATATTCAAATTTTAATAATAAGTAGTCTATATACATTTTTTCTGATGGACCTTGAATAACATTTTCTCTTATAAATATTGCATGCATTATAGTTGCTGAGTATGTGTGCAAACGAGTATCATCATATGCCATGCGTAAATTAGAGTAGTTGAAAACGCATCAAATTGCATGTGTATCTCGATCAGGGACCAGAATACTCGCATTGAGAATGTCCTTAAAGGATTTGAATCTTCATACCAAACCTGGGCTTGCTTCTGGAACTTGTTGCCCAAAATAAAATATCTGTGGCTGGCGTGAAAATGTGCCCAATGACAAGTCTTATTTTACTAAGGTAGGTTACACATATTGTACGAGGCTATTGGGTATCTCCACTTCATTCAAAACGTCCAAATCTATATGAAGTCAGGATGTCTTTTATGACCACATTTTTAGGAAAGCTAACTTAAGCACATTTTTCTAATCATTAGACAGATGTTCTTATAGAATCTCTCACAGTGTTTAGCACTCATGGGCTATGATATTATCAATGAATCCATAGATTTGGGTTAATCTTTTGCGTCTCTTTCCTGAGCCCAAGTCTCGGTTTACGTCATACCTCTTACCTCTGATCTATCCATTTCAATACACATAACAGTTAAAGATTTGGCCTAAAAAACAATTAAGATTATGCAAGTGTCCATGTATGTACCATAATTTTAAATCTCACTTCCTCTTCTTTAAAAACCTCTTTCAGAATACCAATGGGGCACTAATGGCAATTGTATTGAGGATTCTTTTGATTTTAGATAGGAAGAAAATTAAAAAAAAATTTTAAACAAAGTCTAAGTATTCTGGCCTTTGCTTGATTTTAAATGAGTCGTTTTTTTTTTTTCCCCATTTTGAATGAAAGAATCCCGACGTTGATGTGTTAAATTTTCAAACTTGAAATAGTTGAAACCACATGGTTATAGTATAATAGAGGGATACTCTAATTTTTAGTCCTCAAATTTTCTCACAATTATCAATTTAGTTTTTAAACTTCAACTCAATACAACTTAATTAAGATAGTTTATTAAATAAAGCAATTATATAAATTGAGTTATATCATGTAAAAAATTATAAGAATTGAGTTATTTTGAGACAATAAAATATATAAATTAATTTATTTCAAGTCAAATTTTAAAGATGAAATTGATAATTATAAATAAATGTAAGTATAGTTACATTTTTCCTGTATTGGACCAAGAACTTTGCATAAGAGGAGGATGATGGGGACACGAACAATTGATCTTTTGAATAAGCTTGTTTCGGTCACAAGGTAAAACCATTAGAGATTTTGATTCAATGCCTTCCTATTTAGGGAAAGTATACGGTGATTTACACAATTTGTTAGTGTTATGAGAAAGTATGTTTTAATTTCATTAAGTTATATTATTAACAAAAGATATTCATAACCAAAAAAAAAGAAAATGAAAATGAGAAGAAAATTATGATATCAACATATTATAAAAATTTAACTTCATTAACTTTATTTAAAAATTTAATAAGTTTTTAATTTTACCCTAATTAAATATACATATTTTAAAAATAAAATACTTCAATATTCAATAATCTTTCCAGTATTTAATTGGGGCAAAAGGATACATATAGACAAAAAAATTAGAAATTTGCTTTATAAATAAAATCAAAATAAATACTTTTCTCTCTTTCTTTATTTTATAAATAGAATTAGAGGAATAGATAATCAATCAACCCGAAAAATGTAACTTGCTCTAAATGAAAATTTCTCATCAAAACAGAAAGACTTATTTAGTGGAGCGGCCCTAGCTTGTTTGAAGATTTTAAGAACTGATTCATTCAAGGTTTGATCATCCTTTCAATGTCCCTTAATTACCCTAAAAAGTTGAACCATTGTATTCTTTTGGTCATCCTTACTTTGCCGTTTGTTTCAAAACGAAGAAGTTGGCTTGATTTTCCAAAATTGACTGTAAATACTTTTTACAAATCGCTTGGAAAAATTATGTCCTTGTACGTAGTCAAGTCAATTATTGGGGCCTCACAATCTTTTGTTAGGCAATCCATTAAGGGAGGATGACAAATAATAATTTTGTAAGAATATTAATATTAAATTAAAATTTTTAAATACTAATATTCTCAAATTTCAATACCCTTTTTATTATATTTCAATACTAAAATTTTTAATTTAATATTAATATTTTTACAGGATCTTTACTTATCATTGTCCCTTTATTTAAACATGGTCATGATTATCTTCGTCATCATCATTATATCCCTCTAGGTTACATTTTATGCCAAGGGATGCTTCATTCACATTATAATTATTCATGACTTTAATTAGAAAACAGAAAACTTTAAAACTAAAAATCATAAAATTATAATTTGAAAGCTTTATGGCGGAAATTGAGAATTCTACACGGATATGTACTGCTGCCTAATTAGGGATAGTGTTTGACAGACTTAGCCCCTCAAGTTTGAATTACATACACCATCAACAAGATATGGAGCAAACACAGTGTAAAATCTTAAAACTCAAAGATAGAGATGTTAAATATTAAAACTTAAAAACAAGTAGTTTAAAATTTTAAGAGTATGGAAGGTGCTGAAAATTAAATCAATTGATAGTTAAGATTAATTATCGTCAAATTGTGAACATACTAATCATAAATAAAACATTTCATTAAACAAGTCAAAATAATAGAACAATTTATTAGTTTAACCTATCAAGGTTGAACTAGATTTCAACATGAGTTTGAATGCAAAATACTTAATTTTATAAGCCAAATATATATATATATATATATCAAATATATATATATATATATATATTGCTCAAAATGAGGTGTGCATTATTTTGCATCTCTCACTAGCTACCATGTTGCTCCGTCACTGCCACCAAATTTAGTCATCAGTCACTGCTTAAATTATGTATATGGCCTAATTTTTTTAATTCTTATTTCCAAAGCACATCACTTTGGAATTTCATGACGCAGCCACACCTTAAAGTATATGTAGCCATCAGAGAGGGTGTTGCGCCATTGGTTTATGACTGATTATTATTATTAAACACTGATCCCTTTCAACGTACGTGCAAAACATATTCATTATTTTTTGAAAAAATTGCATGTAAGTCTTACAGAGCAAACTTATTTACAATAAATCCTACAAAATTTAGAAACCACAACTAGGTCTCTTGAGATTTGAGTTTAATTTCAAATTGAGATAAAAAGACAATAATGCCCCTATTAAATATATATACATTACATCAGTCAAATAATTTATAACTATTTCATCAATAATTTATAATTATAATTTTAACCTTTTACAACCATAAATTCATATATCCAATAATTAAATTGATTAGTTGTAAAAAATTAAAGTTACAGTTGTAAAAAATTAAAATTGTAATTGTAAATTACTGATAAAGTAGTTGTAAACAATTAATGTTAGCAATACATGATTGTTTATCTATTATATATATGAAGTTACAGTTATAAAAAATTAAAATTATAGTTATAAATTGTTGATGTAATGGGTATTATTATCTTTACAGCTTAGTTTTTAAATTTTATAAAACTTATTTGTAAATAAGTATATTCATAGGACTCATACATAATTTTCCCTTATTTTTGTATGATATGTTTTAGAACTTAATTAATTAGTTACTAATATATATATGTATATATTGATGATATAACCATCAAAGCAGGCAGCGCCACCCTTTGTGAACTTTCAATTTTCATTTACCTCAAAACAGCTCAGGCCACGATGCATAGATATTGGTATACGTACTTATTACTTAATAGGATGTGATATGGTTAGTTGAATATGATAAATTTTAATTTAAAGCATATCCTTTGATATATATGATATCAGTTACTTCTTATATTAAAAAATATAAGATATTTTTAACAGAATTTTATTCTTAATAAAGTAATTATTTTTTAAACTAACCCTATCTTTTTATATTTATTTTTATTAAACACATTACAATAAATATAAAATCATTTATTAATAAAGACACTTTAAAAATAATAATAATTATATTTTAAAAGATTAAAAATATTTTACATTTTTAATATCTAATTTTTCAAAAAATGTCTTACATATTTTTGAACTGAGGGAGTACATCTTTATTAATTAGATTATTGAAAAGTTACTAATAATTAATTAAAGGAAGAAAACACTAAAAAAAATCTCGCTTGGATTTTCTCTAATGTAATCTTGTCATACCAAGAAAAGATTATCGATCTCCTAGCCAATTTCTTCTGAGCTCTTTCATGACAAGGAAACCAAGTGGTGTGTGAGTAAATATCTCATTTGTACAAGCCCAAAAAATTGAAGTGTTGTGTACTCTTCTTCTTGTTTTATTTATAAAGCATTTCTAATATGTTTTATTGAAATAAAAAAAATTGAAAATTCATTAATTTTATCTTATAATTTAACAATTTTTTTTATTTTTATCCCTATTAAATATGCATACTTTAATGATGTATTTCTCTCACCAATATTTGACAATAAAAGGGAAAATTTAATCTGAAATAAAACTTTAATAATATGCCTTATAAATAGAGCCAAGAAAAATTATCTATATGTCTTAAAAATAGGAATATGGTAATATTAATACAAGGCCAGTCATTTTAAAGATGACAAAAGTAAATCAAATTAGACTTCAGAAATTAAGTTCCTGCATCTAATGTAAATCCCTCTTTTGAGAATGTTTCACAAGCAGCGTGACAAGCGAGCCAGGCAGCGTAATTATTAGTTTCTTTAAACATGTGATCAGAGATGATTTAGGGCAAATTCGTCAATCTATTGAGACACAAATCGAAGTCAGGCATATTGTTCACAAAATCAGAAAATCTTCTGATTGAAAACAAAAAAAAAAAAAACAATTGTGAAGCATAGAAAATTGGTGGTGCAGAGGGATGTTCCGAGATATTTCGTTGATGCAACTTTTTCTGGTTTCGTCTTTAAGTGAGATCAATATTCATGCATGGTTCTTCATTTTCAAACGTGATCTCTCTTCACTTCATAGAATCGTCGTCGTTTTGACTTCGACTGGAGAATAGTCGAGTCAATATTTTGTGGCTCTATCTAGACTCGTTACCAAATTATAGTGTCTTAAATTACAGTGCTCATATCAACCTGTGTGCTCTGAAAATTCCACTGCCTTTTGAGATTGATGGATTTAGCTACTTGTATAGATTTTAAGTATTATAATTATATTATAATAATCGTCAGAGACAGCTGTTGCATTTTCTTTTTTTAAAAAGAAAAACATACGAAGATTATTACTTGTCTCTTTTTTATTAATTAAGTGAAAGACGACGAATGTGGTAGGTGCATGTGCTAACGAAACTTTATGATTCTTTTCATATATGGTCTGAAATTACATCTTTACTATAATGAGATTAGAATTATTTGTTGGTAATTTTTTTTACCACGTACATTTTAAGGGGACATTCTTGAAATATCCAAGTAAGAGTAGCCTTGAGTTAATATGAGAATTAATTGATTAAGCCCCAAACATTAAATAAATTTTGGTTTAATAATTAATATATAATAAAGTGAAAGAACTCATGCATACTTAAACTATGAAATTTTAAATTAAGATGTGATGTTTTTTCATGATTCTTCATCTCCATTTATTCTCTCATCATGTTTTTTGGGAAGTTATTCCCCATTCCTAACATTTAATTGGTCATAACGCAAAAAATGTCTTTGTTATAGTTACTTTCAATTAGGCCTGGTAATGCTCGAGCCTGACCTTATTGAGCAGATAAACCTAACTATGAAAAATTAAATATCTCACACGAGACATAATATAGAAACCTATGGGGAAAATGATTTTATTTCTCCTAATTAATAGCAAAGATTCTTTAAACAGAAACATATACTATACAGAAACTCATTTTAAGGGGAAAAAAATTATTGATCAGATAGTAATTCAGCTGTAAAAAATTTAGTTAAATTTTTATTTTTAAGTTGAGTTTGTTAACACAAGAGGGCTTCCCCCCCCCCGGCCCAAAACACATGACAATGTGGAATCTTTTGAAAATAATATTTAAATGTGTAGGTTCTATTTTTTTTTTTAAAAAAAAACAAGTAGGGAGTAAATGATATACAGCCAAGTACAAAATGTCACAGTTTGATCCATAACTCTGTGTGTGTACACTTGAGATATGGTAGGCATTAGTCAACATGTTTAAGTACCTTCTATTTGACTACGTGGCAATTGGCATTAAAATAATGTACAATTAAAGATCCATTTTGGCTATAAAAAGGGTATGCTTAGCATGTAATTTGTAAAGCCAAGTGAACAACACCATCCAAAGGCAAAAAGAGAGCTTCTCGTTCTTTATCTTCGTTCGCAAGCAAGATGGGTTCCCATTCCGGTTTCTGTGAGAATAATAACAATCACGCCCTTGTGAAAGCTAATCCCTGTCCCCAGACACAGGACGAGGCTTGCCTCTCCGCTATGTTCCTGACGACCAATCAGGTGTATCCAGCTGTCCTGAACGCAGCCATTGAGCTTAACCTCTTTGACATCCTGGCCAATAAGGCCTCGCCACCTGGCTCCTCCATGTCCGCCGCCGAAATCGCCTCCCATCTTCCCTCCCGTCACCCCGATATGCCCGACAGGCTGGAACGCATGCTTCGCCTTCTAGCCAGTTACACTCTCCTCACGTGCTCCTCACGTGACATCTCCGATGGCTCCTCCATCACCGTCTACGGCCTCTCCCCCGTCGGCAAATACTGCGTCACCAATGAAACTGGTGGCTACTTGGCTTCCTTCACCACCTTCCTCTGCTACAAAGCCCTCCTGGAAATTTGGTATCTCTCTATATCTATCTATCTATCTATCTATCTATATATCATGGTATTTAAATCAAATCAAGCTGACTCCCTCTACCTGATCAAGAGTTTTGAACCACTTAAAAGATTGGGTTATATTTATATTCCCCCCCCCCCCGGGCTAAACATGAAAACACATCGTTTTGAGTTAATCACAATTGATGGGTTGACGCCGGTCCAACAACGATTTGGATAATTGATTGTTGAATCACTACCTCAACGACTTCAATAACTATCCAAGAGCTTCAATACTTTATAAAAATAAGTTCAAAAATTTACGTAAGTCAAATCTTGAGTATTTTCAAAAAGATATACCTCAACACTCAGAGTATTTATGTGTGTGTAAGTATTTATAGATAAATTATTAACGAGGTCTAGAGGATTCGAATCCAAGTCTTCTTATGAGAGTTGTTCATGCATGTGTTAGGTTTTCTATTCTAGTTTTGATGATGTTTGTTTGGGTGTGTGTGTGTGTGGGGTATAGGATGAACTTCAAGGAAGCAGTGATGGATCCAGACGTGGACCTGTTCAAGAAGGTTCATGGGAAGACGAGCTACGAGTACTTTGGGACGGATCCCACGTTGAACCACATCTTCAACAAAGCTATGGCGGACGTGTGTGCAATGGAGATGACTAGGGTTCTTGAGTTGTACAAAGGGTTCGAGGGAATATCAACGTTGGTCGATGTCGGAGGTGGCAACGGCCAAAACCTCAGACTCATCATCTCCAGATACCCTTCCATCCATGGAATCAACTTCGATCTTCCCCAGGTCATCCAACATGCACCCCCCATTCCTGGTATGTATATGTGCGAATAAATGTTCCCTGCTTCCCTCTCTTTATTCTTGAATTCTTGAACCATCCAAACCTGCCACGTTCATGATCCGACTTTTCCATCCTTTTCTGTTCCTGTGTGACCCGTCAATGATCTACTTATTAAAGTCAACATACATGTGTACGTAGGCTTAATGGGTCTTTCTTTCGCCTGTTCTTTTGGCTATAATATTTTAATTATTAAACAAAAAAAAAAATCATTGAACCGTTCAATGAAATATTTTATTTATAATAGATATGATCACATGGTTCGACTATAATTTTATTAAATTTTGAACTATTGTTCAGATTAGTGTTGGGAATAAGGGCCTGGGCTTGGAGGCTCTATTTAAATAAGGGTTCGGGCTTTGAAAATTTTGTTAAAGTAATCGGGTTTGAGGGCTTAGCCCTGATAATCCCTGTAAAAAAGGACTCGAGCTCGGGTAGCCCTTTAAACCCTGTTATATTATTATTATTATTATTATTATTATTATTTTCTTTGGTGAAACACGTGTTTGAAACTAATGACCTGCTCACCTGATCCTATACACATTATATTATTATTAATTTTAATTTATTTTAAAATTAATTTAATAAATATCAGTGTATAGTATAAAATTCCTGATATTTTTATTTTTCTATAATTATTATGTTTTTATATTTATAAAAAATGAATTATTTTTTAACTAAGACTTAAATTTTATTACTAGACTTCTAAATGTGTGTTATTTAATTTTTTAAAAATTATGATAATCTATTTTTTTTAATTTCAAAATATTTTAATTAATTTATAATGTTTAATTTTATTTTTATTATTTTTATTTTTTTGAAAAAGGGCTTGCGGGCCCGACCTTGAGCCCTTTACATAAGGGCCGGGTTTGAGAAATAGGATTTAAAATAGGAACCGGGCTTTAGAGGGCTGAGCCCATAAGGACCAGGCCCTTAAAGGCCGGGCCCGCTCATATTTACAGCTCTAATCCAGACAAGTTCACTTTTCCTTAATAATATTCAAACAACACATAAATATATGTATTCAATATTTAAGCTGAGTAATTACCGTCAATTTCGTTCTAGTTTTCCTTTAAAAATTATTATTATTATATTAACACAAATGTATCAACTTTTCATTCCATGCAGGAATAGAACATATTGGGGGAGACATGTTCGTAAATGTTCCCAAGGGTGATGCCGTTATCTTGAAGGTAATTAGCATGATGAACATAATCAATATATACAGTTTATATATATATATATATATATTCATATAACATATTGTCTCAAACTCAAGTTCGTTTTTTATTTCAATGACAATTTGTTTTAACGTAGGCCGTGTGCCACAACTGGTCGGACGAAAAATGCATAGAGTTTCTGAGGAAGTGTCACGAAGCATTGCCTGAAAATGGGAAGGTGATAGTGGTGGAGTTCATATTACCAGAATCGCCAGAGCCAACGGAAGCATCAAAGTTAGTTTCAACTCTGGACAATCTCATGTTCATTACTGTCGGTGGAAGGGAAAGAACAGAGAAACAGTACGAGACTTTGGGAAAGCGTTCTGGTTTTTCTAGGTTTCAGGTTGCTTGTCGTGCCTTCTCTGCTCTGGGAGTCATGGAGTTCTATAAATAATGGAACCAATCCAACACCACAGTATATTGTTCCCAGAACAAAAAAGTTATGTTTGTCTACATTCTACAACTACAAGAACGTATATCAATGGATAAGAGGCCAAAAAAATAGTATAATTAAGGTTAATTAATTATCCTGCCATGATGGCTCCTAAACATTTTAGTACACGATCTCATGATGATGATTATGTAATCCAATAATTACATTGTTTCTGTGTTTTTTTTTTTTTTTCAAATTTGACAGTTGCTGGTTTTGGTGTTATATCTGCAATATTTTTATGTTTCCCTCTTCAGTCGCTATCGATATTAATAAGCAGGTAATTGACAACAGTATAAGAGTGACGTATAGCTATAGTTATTTAATTAACTATCTTTCTAATCACGAATTGAAAGCATTGAATGTATTATCCAATGTCAATGATCTCGTAGAGCCTAGTAGCCTGGCATATAGGCTCTTTTACGTGCGTAACCTCACGTTTGTTCATGTCTACTCTTCTAATTTAAAAAAAATTAATAAATGAAAAAAATTTTATCTCTATTTCAAAATATGACATTTTTTTAAAATTAAATATTAAAAAAATGATATTTTTAATATTTTAATGTGTAATTATTGTATTTTTTAAAAAGCATTTCTAGTGAATAAATTAGTTTATATTTTTGTAGAATGAAAATCTTATTAAATAAAAATAAATATAAAAAAATAGCATTAGTTTAAAAACAAATAATTATTTTATTGAAATATGATATTCGATTAAAAATATTTTTATATTTCTTAATATATATATATATATATATATTATATTTTAGTTTTTTTTTATCAAAGGGACAGGTATTGAATTCACAATCTTTCACTTATGCGAAAAATTACATGCTACTATATCATATATAAGGCCATTTACAGTATATTTTACTACTTTTTAACACGTGTCAGTTCAAAAAAAATGAGGTAAAATATTTAAAATTGAATAGTATATATAATATCAAAGGAGCACTAATTGAAATGATTGGTCAAGCTTGGTTGGGAACAAAGTTCCTCTGTTTAAAAATATAAAGTATTTTTTAAAGAGTTAGATGTTCAAAAATGTAGGACATTTTTAATCTTTCGAGGTATAATCATTATTTATTTTTTTCAAAAGTGCCCCCATTAATAGTGACTTTATATTTATTATAGGGTGTTTAATAGAAATAAATATAAAAAAAATAAGGTTAGTTTGAATGTAAGTAACTACTTTATTGAAAGGTGAGTTTTAATTACAGTTGTCTTATATTTTTAAACGGATGGAGTAGATTATGAATATGACCTTTTGGTTTTTTTTTTATAATAAAAGGACCTAACTAGAGGTCAACAGTGCTAATACAATCCTTATTGAGAATAGAGAGAAGCCTGTCAGAAGGCAAACTAATAGTAACATATCCCGGATCAAGCGATAGTTCTTGTTGAGTAAGGTAGTGGGTCGCACCATTAGCTTCCCTTGGCATATAAGACAAAGCAAGTTCCCAATTGCGATTACAAAGATCCCGAGCTTCTCTTATAATTGCCATATCGGAGTGAGAGTTGTTAATATTACCTTAGATAAGAGTTAAAGCTTCCAAGGAGTCTGTCTGTAATACCACTCTGCGATTACCAGTTTCCCATGCAAGACGAAGCCTGTGGAGAATGCCCCACAGCTTAGTGGATAGGTTGTCTCCTTGACTCATTCGATGGATAAAACCTGAGATAAAGTACCCCCTGCTATCATGGACTAGACTGCCACACCCACTCTTATGACCTTTCTGAGCGTACGCTCCGTCAGTGCTCACAGCAACCCAATCCCGATATGGAGATCTCTACCTTGTAGAGTGATCATGTAGCATACTTCCATTCTAATTAATGCCCGTGAGCTTCTTTTTGGAACTTTCAAGGGACATCCAGATAGCCTTGGCTTCAGATAGCAAAGATTCATTAAATTTACTCTTCCTCTCAAAAATTCTCTCATTGCGACACAACCATAAATGCCAGCAAATAATTGTGAATATCTCAGGCCAGTTTGGTAGTTTTGTACTATACTTTCCTACTAAATTTTTCCTTATCCACTCGTCGAGCATTATGCGAAAAAAATCATGTTGTTTATGATGGTCGACTATCGATTTCCATGAAGATGCTGTGCCGGGACAATCTCATAGCATGTGCAACATTCCCTTGGGCCCACTGTGACACCACATACACTCATCAGTCGCAATCATCTTACGTTTCTTCCTGGCTACATTAGTAAGGAGTTTATCGTGAGTTACTAACTAGAGAAAAGTTTTGCATCTTTGGGGAACGTGCAACTTCCAAATTCTCTCCCAGCATCCCTTATTATTTTAATCAATCGGGAAATAGCTATTGTATGCTGACTTAACTGTGAACACATTGCTCTTGTCATGCTTCCATTTAACTTTACTTGCATCTGGAGAGATGTCTAAACCTGATCGAACTTCTTCCCAAGTGGCCTTAATGCCACCCTAAACATTTGATCTAGGGCGCTTTAAATCAAGCTTTAGTAACAAATCATCACCACAATTATATTTACTTTGAATGACTCTGACCTAGAGATCATCTCTACGTTTAACCATATTCCATCCAAGCTTAATAAGGAGGGCACTATTCTACATTCGTGTATGTCTTATGCCTAGCCCGCCATTCCGTTTTAGTTAGCAAACATCCTTCCAAGCAACCAGATGAGTTTTGTTTCCTGTCTCTATTTGTCCCCAAAGAAAGTTTCGGTTAAGCTTATTAATAGTGTCACACATAGCAACTGGCAGGTGGGCTGTTTGCATTACATAAGTTGATATCGCAGAGGTGGTAGAGTTGATGAGGGTATGTCTATCGGCTAAAGAGAGATTATTTACTTTCCAGTGAGATAATCTTTTTTTCACCTTATCCACTGTTTCTATTAAAGTTTCTTTCCCAACTTGTTTGTGGTGAACTGAGACTCCAAGATACTTGCCTAGCTCAATAGTATGTGTAAACCTAAGGAATTTACTAATTTCCTCCCTCCTAGGGTTCTACATATTCTTAAAGAAGTACACCCTAGTTTTCATAGCTTTAACTTTCATACTTGAACTTGAGCAGAAAGTTTCTAGCAATTCTTAATAATCTCTGCTTGGTCTATTAAAGCTTCAGCGAAGAGGAGAATATCATCGGCAAAGAACAAATGAGAGATAGGTGAGCCATGTATCCCTCATCGAATAGGTTTCCAACATCCTTCTTGGAATTTCAGTTGGATTAAATGAGCTAGTTTTTCTGTGCTAATAACAAAAAGGTAAGGGGACAAGGGGTCCCCCCGTCGAACCCCACTATTGGGAGAAAAAGAATCTGCTTTACTGCCGTTCCAAAGGATCTGCATAAAGGTAGAGGAGATGGTGTGTTTAATGACTTGCCGAAGCTTCCTAGAATGTTGAGTTCTGTCAAGAATTCTGATATAAACTACTAGTTGAGCCGGTCATAGGCTTTCTCGAGATCGATCTTGATAGCCATAAACCCTTTCTTGCCATTCATAGTTCTCATTGAGTATATCGTTTCCTGTGCTACAATGATGTTGTCTGAGCTATGCCTTTCTCGAATGAAACTACACTGTTAAGGTGAGATTACCTTTGGGAGGATGGGTTTAAATCTATTAGTGATCACTTTAGTTATAGCCTTAAAAATGACATTACAAAGGCTAATAGGCTGCATATCACAAAAAGTGTCTGGACGTTCCTTCTTTGGCATGGGGACGATGAAGACTCGATTAATCTCCTTAATTTTATCAGGCTTATCAAATAGCTCTTTGATGAAGCCGATAATCGAGGGGCCCATAGTCTTCCACTGGCTTTGATAAAATATGGCATTGAGTCCATCTGGTCTTAGGGATTTGACAGCTCCTATAGCAAAGATTGCTTCTTTAATTTCCTCCCGACTAACTTCTCGGTCAAGCCTAGATAAGTCAAAGGAGTCAATAGAGGGATAAGAGATAGAGCACTCATATCTCAGTCTAGATGCCTCCTCTTCAATAAATAGGGCCTCAAAGAAATTAGTCGCCATTTGTTGAATAATACCAGTGTCATAAATCCACTCTCTAGCTTCATTTTGAATAGCCGAGATCCTATTTAATTTTCGGTGTCTACTTGCCATTCTATGAATTCACTATATAGAGACCAATTAAGTCTAGCTTTTTGGGCCCACATTAAATTCTCTTATGTCAAAACCTGTTCAAGCTCAGCCCAAAGTTTCAGTTGGATCCCTTCAAGGTCATTGCAGGCGTTACCTCTCTTAAGTGATTTATTAACCCTATCAAGATGACATAGTAGGAGTCTTTTACAATATTCGAGGTAGCCGTACATGTTTTTATTCCATAAACTACAGTCATGTGTGAAACTAGTCACTCCCGCTTCCCAGTCCCCATCAACATCCTACTTCTCTTTAACAAACTCTTCAAATTTATCGTGCATGATCCAGGGAGCCAAGAACCTGAAAGGTCAATCCACTTTCTCAATTGTAGTAGTCTCTGTTGCAAGCAGCAGTAGTCGATGATCTGACTTTATCCATGGAAGGTGTGTGACAGTGGCATTTGTAAACAGGTTTGGCTAAGGCCCATTAACAATAACCCTATCAATTCTACTCTTGCTATCTTCCTTTTGCCAGGTGAACTTAGGTCCAATGTAACCCAAATCAGTAAGCCTCGAAGCTTCAAACCATTTGGAAAAGTCTAAATCAATACGAGATGATGTGTTGGTATGAGAGGTTCGTTCACAGTAAAGTAGAGTGGCATTAAAATCTCCAGCTATACGCCACGGGCCATTAAACTCCTAACTAATTCTCGATAGTTCTTCCTAGAAATGCCTACAAATACTAATGTTTGGATTAGCATAAACAACAGTCAACCATCATTTATTTTTACCTAGAGTTTCCACGCTCAGATGAGCATATTGTTGGTTGCTTTTAATGGAATGAATGGATATAGTGGCATCTCGCTAGAGGTACCAGATCCCCCCACTATAACCTTGAGCATCTATAATACCAAATTTATTGAAACCCAAACTTGCAGCTACTTTTCTAGCTTTCTCTCCACTTGAATATGTTTCTATAATAGCAAGAAAATCCAAATTATAAAACCTTTTTAGTTC